GTACCCGGGGCGTATCCAGGACGGCCGTAGCCCTGAGGACGACCATAACCACCCTGGCCGTGCTGGGGGTTCACGAAGTACTCGCCGCTGTTCTCGTCACGCTTGGCGAATCCGCCGTACGGGGCGGGGCGCGGGGCGTAGCCGGGACGAGGAGCGTATCCAGGCTGGTGGAAGCCAGGAGCACCAGCGCCAGCACCAGCGTTGTAGCCGGACTGGCCGAAGCCGGGCTGGCGCTGGCCGGCGGGAGAAGCGGGGTTGACGAAGTAGTCGTCATTTTGGTTCTTCTGCTCGTCGTTGGCGGCGTCCTCAGCACGCTTGGTGATGTTGTCAACGTTCGCTGCGTCGGCCGCGTCTGCAACGTCTGCAACGGCACCTTCGCTGGGAATGTTCTTGGTAGGTGCGGCAGCCGAGAGGCTTGCAAGGCCGACAAGGGCGCTGGGGATAACGGTAGAAAAACGCATTTTGACGAAAGGTCGAGAAGGAGGTTTGGAGGGTTGAAAAAGGAAGAGAAGAGAAGAATATTGTTCTTTTTGGTTTGATGGAGATGGATTGTTCTGGTCTGTTCATCGATTCAAGCGAGCAGGACTAGGTATTTATAACATTCTGCTTCAGCGAAATCCGTCCCAAGACTCATGTTGGATAGATGCAATAGCATCTCATTGGCCATTGTGTGCTGTCGTCGCCTCTGTACTCCCCTTGCATATGTTGATGCGTGGAGGAATCGTGGGATCCAAAGCTCTGCGATGCTCGGTGTTCGTGACCAAATTATTGGGTAGGACACATATCTCCGAGCTTTATTGCATCTACGCGGATCATGGCCCACAATGAGCCAATAACCCTTTCCAGCACTAGTACGGTGCTATCCAAGTGCTTGAATGTCCCAGCCCAGGCACGTCCAGTGTCGCTTGTCCGATGGACCGGTCAGCTACAAGGGATGGCTTCTCCTCGTGCATGCATGCACCCCAAGCACTGCATTTCTATCGTGATGACAAAAAGTCATGGGTGCCGTGTAATCCGAGGATCGCCTAAGGTATCCCTTGTCAACTGCTGTCTACATGAAGCCCTACAGTTTGGCGCATAAACTTTTTTTTTTTGAGATGTCTCGGATGTACTATGTATGGGGAGAATTATTTCAAAGAAGAACTCTGGGTAGACAGCGAATTGTCGTCCTATCTTGTCGATGGATGCATATGCACGAGGCTAAGAAAAGAAAGTCGGTCTGCACTAACCACGCATGTCAAGATGCTACATCATCATGCATACAATCTCAATTCGAATCCGAATTCGGGAATATTCGCCCGTTGAGATCATTTATGGCTTAATTGCGTATCAACAAATTGACTATTAGATAGGTCATAGTAGGGATGGAGATTCAACCCCGATTCGGTTTTTCGTCGAGTTTTCCGGTAGTTAGTTCTGACCTACTACGCACAAGAATCGACATGCATGGTGCATATGAGCCTCGTTAAGCGTTTGCATACGATATGGTAATTGTGGCGGCCACAAGGCAATAATCATGCATCAGATCCTACACACTGCATCGGAGATCACATATACGCATTGCGGTGAGATGAGCGGTTTGCATCCCATCCACGACGATCCTGGGGAAGACAGAATAACGCGTCTGCTGAATAAAGCTTTCGCCCTTACTCTCAAATTCATCCCGATTTGAAATCGTCTGCTAGCATGGCATATCTCATTGGTATTGTTTGAGTCGTCATTGAGATGGAATGTGTCGCATTGAGCAATTATTGCTTGCGTCGCGGCCTGTGTCTACGGACTACTGACTGGAAAATCCGATCACGGGAGCTTTCGACCACGTCAAGAGCTGTGGTACTGTGTCAAGGGAGCTCGGGTTGTTAGCCGACGACCTCTTTTGGGCAACTGCGATGTACGCTGTAGGCGCTAGATCCGGGGTATACATGGCGAATAACGGTGAAGTTGGATATGCAACAGCGATCACGGGACGATCACGCTATGAGTGCAGGGTAATATTCCATCGAATTCTGCCTTTACCACTGCTATAGAGCTTATTGTGCATATTTCTACAATAATAGAAGGTAGTATACTGTACAGAGAGTATGGGGAAGGACAAGACTGACAACTCAGTAACAACACACTGCACGCCAAAAATAGATAGGGCGGTATATCATCATCGAGACATCCCAATAGAGCCGAATTAGCCGGAGACTGTTTGGATTGATTGAGAGCGATATGCTATTCGGTTGTAAGCTCGCAAGGAATGACCTGAGCAATATCACTATATGCTACTGGTAGTGATCGATACATGCTGGTAGGACGCGATGAAGATGAAAGAATGCCCTATCACTCCTGCAAAATTTTCATAGACCTCTAGCCGTATAATCAGAGCAAATGAAGAGGGATTGAACGATGCTAATCGAGTATAGTATACAAAAGTATAGTACATGGTATGGTACATCATAGACGAGAAGTAGTTACTCTTTGATCTGCTGCTTGTGAAATACATCTAACGAGTCAATATCTGGAATAGCACTCAACCATACTAAGGAGTGAACTTACCTGGAACCTCCGGCATCCAACTCGCCCTCGACGAGCAAAAGAATTCTCCCTTGGGTGGTAATACTTCGGGATCATCGAGTGACCCTACACAGATGTACCGAAACTGCTCTTTAACAGCGTCCTAAGGCCAATTGAGTTAGACATTTGCGTGCAATGTAGAAAGAAGTAGATATACTCACCCCATACTCTAAAATAAAACTCCCACAGTTATCACAGAATTCCCGATGGATCACCATGCCCGAGCCATTATCGGCGGCATGTTCTTTGGGTCTCCCGGCCGTGACAGCAATGGCGTCTTTGGGAATCTTGGAAGTCAAGCCATAGTTTGTTCCGAATGCTTTCTATTCCGATTCTTAGTTTTATGCTGTATTGGTTGAGACTGGGTTGTGCTGACCTTGCAATTCCGGCAATGGCAAAGAGACGTTCTAGCGTCGTCTGGAGAGGAGAGATCCAGACTGTATTGAATCTGGCGACAGAAGCAGGATCCTGTGTATCGAGGCATATGTAATGTCCTTGTGTTTTTGTATATGGGTGCAATTGGTACTAGGGCGAATGCATGAATATATATAATGGCACTGACATCATGTAGCCTTGATGTTTTTATCTTCTAGAATACGACCATGATGTGACCATGATGGACTTTGTTTCTCTTCCCTTATGATAGTGCTATCTGCTTTCTTTGAATCGTTACAGGGTACAGCGGCATACCATCCGATAAAGACCCGCGGGGTCATCGTATCCGCCGCCATCGCGGGTCATCCCACCACATCTACACATCAACCATCGTGCCATTGTCGGAAATGGCAACACCAAACCCATCCCAGCCTCCCACAAGACGCGCCGTTGTCTCTTCATTTATCTTCAAATCCCCGGATGAAGGACAGAAAAAACCCCAAGTTGCGCTGTTCCGGCGCAGTGACAAAGTGAGGACATACCGGTGAGTACTCCATCACCCCGTATCAAGTACCGCACTCTAATATTTAAAGCCACCACCTAGCACCAATCTCCGGAAGCATCGACCCCAACGAATCTCCTCTCGAAGCAGCATGGCGTGAACTTTCCGAAGAAACCTCTCTCAACTCCACCTCGTTATCCTACTGGCGCACCGGCAAGCCGTTCTCCTTCACGGACCCCTCCGTTAACCGCGAATGGACCATCCATCCCTTCGCTTTCCATCTCAAGGGCACCAGCGAAGGGGGATTAGGTGAGAAAGCAATCAAAACTGATTGGGAACACGAAGGCTGGCAATGGTTCGACCTGGACAGCATAGTCGACAATGAAGAGTTCGGAGGTGTGCCGCGGCTGCATGAGAGTCTACGCCGGATTTGGTTCGAGGGCGAGATGAATGAGCGTACGGCAGAGGTGCTGGCGGCCGGATTAGAGAGGTTGCAGATGGATCATCAGAGCGGGTCGCAGGAGTTGACAGCGGTCGCCTTGACGGTGTTTCGGGACGTTGTGCAGACGCGTGATGGAATTGATGACGAGTGGTGGACGATGGTGCGCATGGCTGCGTGGCATTTGGGAAATAATGGCCGCGAGAGTATGGGGACTTCGATCACGAATGCACTTATCTCGATACTGGGTGATATCGACGAAATACGGCAGCAGCAGACGAACGAGGAAGCGAAATGGGACCGTATACTTGGGGCAATCGACCACCACCTGAGTGAGCGCAAGTGTCAAGCGAAGAAGATCAAAGACGCTCTTGTCTCGTATCTACAGTCGAACTGCTCCTCATCGGACAACCAGCAGGAGAAGAACAGGATCACTATTATGACTGTTTCCGCCAGTTCTACCATACGAGACAGCATCCTAGACGCCTTTGGAACTCTGGAAAACGTGAAAGCCCTTGAGCTTCGCGTCCTCGAATCCCGACCTCTCTACGAGGGAGTCACTATCGCATCCTCCCTATATTCCCAATTCAAATCCCGATTCCCAGCATCCTCGCAGAACAAAAACCTCGAAATCAAGATTTACACCGACGCCTCCGCCGCCATCGCCGCAACAGACGTCGATTTCGTCCTATTAGGCGCAGATCGCATTTCCCCTACCAAAGGCATCAGTAACAAAACCGGCTCTTTACCCGCTATCCTCAGTGCAAAGCACGCTCAGCCCTCGGTCAAGGTAATTGTGCTAAGCGACTTGGAGAAGATAGGACTAAATGGGGAGGAGTCGCATTCACTCCAGGAAGAGAACGATCTGATGGAGGTTGTGAATGGGTGGAATAGTGAGGGCGTCAAGGGCCTTTCTGTCTTGAAAGACGGTCTCAATGCAAGCAAGGCTAATGATAGCAATGCCCGCGTGGAAGTGAAGAATGTATACTTTGAATGGGTTCCGTTAGCTCTCGTGGACGCTTTGGTTTGTGAGCAAGGTGTCCTGGATAAGGACAGCATTCGGGACCAGTCACGGCGACTGGGAGGAGAGATGAAGCGGTATTTTGGTGAATTATAGATCGGAACCGAGCTTTCAAGACATATACAAGTGGTGAATACTGTTGGACGCCAAAGTGAATCCCCCGTGGTCAAAAATATTATCCTCGCTTCCTTTCTTCCAGTAGCGGACTTCCATCCTATAAAGCACCAATATAGCATATGGCAACCAAAGAAGATCGATTATATTGGTTTAACCACCCGTTCAGTGGCGGTGTAGTGCCCTTGTCTTGAAAGTGACATGCTCCAGTTTCTAATGCCAGAAAATCTACGCCAATGAGTTGAATCTCTGGCGCAAGTTGACGCACAGCTGTCACTTACGCTTTTCTTTAGACCAGCGGACAAGCTATGCTCCCCTCTCCTGGGGTTCCTCAGCCTTCTAGTGCTCATGACATGCCTGTACCTCGAGAGGTCCTAAGCGGCGCTTTTTCTCTGGACTGGGAAGTCCCCATGTCCCGTAATATGTCGAAGACGAGAAGCCGAAGAATACATATCACCAGATTTGACGATGACACTACGAAGTGATAATAATGTCAAGGAAGAGCCTTTCAGAGATCAAATTGAAAATACTATGGGCACATGAGCGACCCGGTGCATGAAGCGATCATCCGTGTTATACGCAGCCAGGAGCCAGTGATCTGGTATGCTCTCGCTTGGCTCCTAGACCAGTGACAGAATTCGTGGAGAATAGGTTCAGGAGCTCACCCGACGAAACTTTCAAAGCCTTTGCCCAAGCAATGACAGGCAACTTCAACGAAACAGTCCCGGAGGAACACCCAAGAATGCTTAATCGGGTGCATGTCGAGAACGACGGTGGATATAATAATTATTGGGCTATAGAGGAGGATGGAAAATTCTGACGATTTGGCGTGGTGCCATTATGAGGACCTCGACCAAGATTAGGTCAGGGATTCGAAATCTTCACTGGGCTTTATTTCCCTGGCTATACGCTACCATTTGCATCAACGAGAAATATTTGCGGTAAATCTTTTCTCCCCTGGTGCTTCTCAATCGGAGAGCATATCTCCAGAACCACAACCCACTCGACCGGCGGCTAGCGGCATTCTTGTTCTCGAATGGGAAGTCCGGCAAATCCCACATGGGATCCAAGGCCAGGATCCAGAAGATTTATTTCACCCGGCCCCACAAACACTTTGAACACAATACGCTGGCACGTGAAGTCGACATGGCGCGCGACTTTATTCTTGTCGTTTTTGACATGTAAAGCTTTCTCAACATCCTTTAAACTCGCAGCAAAAACCTGTATACTGTTGTCCTTTTTCTTCTGCCGGTTCCATAGTGCAAAGGCATTCGCCCCAATGGGCTGGATATCCATTCGAGGTTGGTCTTCCACGTTGCTAACAACAATGCCATTCGCAAAGCGCAACTTCGGGCCATTTGAGTCAATATACACTTGTTGGTCGTCCATCCATGCAAGACCTAAAATCATGTTGAGTCCTCTACCCAATTTAGGAACGACATATAGCCATGTGGTGTCTTGGTGATTCCCTCCTACATTTAATGAGATTTTTGCTACCTCCTTTATGCAATCGTCCGTTGGGCCCTTGTAGTCATTGATGGCTCGTGGTTTGATAGATATACGCTCCAGCTGATGCTTTCGAGCAAAATGCTCAGAAACCATACCATATGTCATGTGACAGTCTGGTCACATGTATACCTCTCACGTGCTGGAAGCAAGGGATATAAGTCTCGTCAACGCTGATGGCACATCATTCTTCTTCTTCTTTCCTCATGTTGATTATTCTCGTCGATAGCTACCTAGGTAGTAGAGCACATGAGTTGATCTTCCATTATCCCAGCTGAGCTCCGTGACAGATTTCCTTTTCTTCTTCTTCCCCAGATTCGATATTCTCGTCGATGGCTACAATAGTTTAGCCCCTCGATTCAAATCCAGCGAGATGAAGTGCCTCCAGGGACAATAGATTCTCTTCTAGTCCTGGTACATATATGACACTTCCCAATCTCGCTTCCGAGCCCTTTGGTAGGCTGAACTTCACTATTCCACGCCCCTTGATGGGCATTCACATGCCGCTCGCGATAATGAGAGTTCCACGGCATTTATCCATGTGTTCAAAGATCTCCTTATTCCCTGTACACATACTCGTTGCTCCACTGTCAAAGCACCATCTCGTTGGATCGTCATTGGCTCGGTAAGCGTCTTCCCTAATGAACGCTGCATATTCCACTATCTCAGGTTCTTCTGGATCATCTGGCACCTTCGGCGTTTCTATCACACGCGGGCCATATTCCTCCTCAGAGATATCACCTAATGAATCCTCATGGTCTTCAGTGGATCGGCTTTTTTGTTTCACCAGTTTCTGGCCCTTCAAATTCCGGTCTCGATTCCGGCCACCTTTTTGGCCTTTGGAACCACCTTGATGCTTGCCACCATTAGCACTAGCATCATCACTATCATCATCACCACTTTGCGTTCCGCCCTAGAACGGCATTGTACTCTTGATCGCCTATGTCCTGATAATATTGGATCGCTTGCCAACAATACTGAAGCCTCATCTGCTTCTCTATGGCATGGAACCAATAACGAGCGTTATCCTCATCCAACTTGTCAATCGAGAATGGGTATATCTTTATCGCAGGCTCCACCACCGCTCTATCTGGTGATCTAGGCAGAGGCGTGCCCTCAGCAGAAGTCTCTGTTTTACTAGACCCTGCCATAATGACTTTCTCACAACCCAAAAGGCTCCGCTGAGCAGATTATTGGCCGATAATCACGTAGGGAGTTATTCGAGGGTGAGATATGTAATCGGGATTGTATCGATCGGTCTATAGTTCGATGTGGAGCGAGTATAGAGCCCCCCAGGATGCCACATGCTGGTTAGGCGTTGATATATCTAAATATCTTGGGCAGGCCCGGGCTCATAACCGATGAAATGGGGATCGGGGGCCGGAGGTCCGGAGATGTCGATTATCCGCGACTAGCGAGGTCGTATATGGAGAAGTCTAGCTTGAACGAAGAGATTGATATATTCTCGTCTATATGCGTGTACACAAGTGCTTGAGTGCTTGTCTATCTAATTGCGCATACACGCTGGCCTATAGTTATCGGCCAGTCGGAACTCGTCTAGTCGGTCCGACGTTATTCCTTATCAGTTTTGAAACGGGGAAGCTTCGGGGCAGCAGTGCCGATTGTCCGGATAGCCGTACGAGGCCTATATGACAGCCAAGAGATATAACAATGGTATCGCGCAGTAGAAAATATACGTAGTATTGAAGTTATCACAGAGTGCTTGCTAAACTAACTAGGAGCCTTTCATCGCTGTGTGATGGAACCGCTCCGGGCTCGCTAGATCGGTCCGATATTCATCCGATCTTCATCAAGTTTGCTTTGTTGATAAGTACAGCGTTGCCTCCTTTCTTCCTCATGTCAATTATTCTCGTCGATAGCTACCTAGCTAGAACCCATGAGAAGGATGTTCCATTATTCTAGCTGAGCTCCGTGACAGGAGTAAGGGAACGTTCTTCATATCAGTGGGAAAAAGACATAGGAATGACAAGCGTTGCAAATGCAGTGGTTTCTATGAATCTGCGGTCGCATATTAGAACGAAGTGTCGGTTTTGTACTGGCGTGGAAATGTCACTACGCGGCGCAGATGTCAGGATAGAATGATCGAATATATTTGGATGCAGTGGTTAAGCCCGACTTTATCGTAACAAATAGCAATCATAATGGGTCTTGACAAGATCGGGAGTGATAAAAGCGTTGGTTAACAGACACATGTATATATGCAAACAAAGTCATTAAGACTGATGTCAACTCTCCTGGTGAAACACCCACATACTCCCATAACTGCAGTTTTGAAAAGAAAAGAAAAGAAGCAAAAATGTAAACGATAAAGAAGCGGAAAGGATAACAAAAACAAAAACACCGGGAGGGCTCAGATTTAAGGAATCAAGCCCGAGTCACTCGTCTAGCCGAGCCCATGGCGGTTCTTCATGTGCTGCAGTAGGTTGTCTCCCCGATTACACACTTTGGCGCAATCGTCCACAGGACAGTGATGAGTTCGGGGAGCGATATGAATTTTCCGAAGGTGTCGGATGAGCTCGTGCTCACGGTTGAAATAGCCCGAATAGCGGCAACCTTCCCATTTGCATTGCAAGGGAGTAGCCGGAAGATAGCTTAAAGTAGTCAGTTGACAGATACGGTTGCATGTTATATGTATGGGAATTTACGGGAAAGTGCCGTACTCTGGGGCTTGTCTGGTATTTTTCTTCTTGTTTTGAGGCTGGGACTTCTGTTCCTGGTGGACGCTGCCTTCCACCGAAGGCTGATGGGTGGCGGAGGTGGCGATCGCATCTGAATGGTCCGGGTCTGCGAGGTTCGGGCCGGTAACCGGACTGGCGGCGCTAGCTGACATGGCGCGGCAAGAGAGACAGTCGGGGTGATGGCATGCCCAAGGATGCACCCTATCGGTAGGTGATCCCCAACTAAGATCAGAGTCAAGCTGGGGGAGGGCGACTAAGGGCGAGGGATCTACTGAATGGTACCCGTAGTAGATACGGTCCTGGTTCCAGCGAGATTGGTCGACGGGCCGAGCCATGATGAGCTTCGGAAAATTAATTCAAGCAATAAAGGCGTATGGATGCCCTAGAGCGAAGGTTCTTGAGGGCCTGAAGACTGCATTTCATCGGGGGATGAGAGGTCAAATATATACTACAGAGTTATCAACGACGATTCTTCGAGTACCGCCTTGGTGTAGTTTTCCTCTCCCTATTCCACTGAGCCCAGATGATTTTAGGGTGGAAGATTATCATCCATGCCGGTGGGGCTATATACATTATGGAGACGATATTTGAGAAGGGCCCAATGAGGGCCGTCAGCCAGAGATCCAAGAAATGAACACGCCCAAAATACATACGTAGTACATCTGCTGTGCTACCGGTGGATACCGATGTATGCGAATTGACCAATGAGTGTCCCGGGTTGTCTGACATAAGACATCAAGCGACTAACTAACTATGAACTAAGTTGTCTGCTGGGGCATTAAAGTTTATTATGTCTATTATCGCCATTATAATTACCGTACTTTGTGGCCTGTGAGGCCATGAATGATGCTCCTCTTTATCAAGCAGCTTGAGCTGACTCTGACTTCTGCTGCCACTAAATTCCCTTCATCTTAGATGAACTATTTAATTCTCACTCTTTTCTCCTTCCTTTTTATATTAATTTCCTGACTGGAAATGACTTGGGTTTTACTATAAAAGCACCGCAGAGCCGCTGGGTGATTGACGCAATGGATTACGTTATACATAGTGCATCCTGGCTGCCTGGCTGCCTGGCTGCCTGGCTGATTGACGATCTACATGTAGCCTCGTTTCGTGTCCCTTATAATGGGGTCTCCCCCGATCCTGGTCTCTCCTGATCTCACTCGGTGTCTACTTTACGTCAACTCTCGCAATTACCAGCCATGGCGGGTGAAGAATGGGAACCTTTTAAGCCGGAAATCGAGCGTCTCTATTGTTATGAAAACAAGACATTGCGTCAAGTCAAGGATTACATGGCGTCCATGTACGACTTTGACAAGTCGTAAGTTTCGTGCAGAGCACCGGATCGGTCGCGGTTCACTCAACTCACACAGGAAATAGTCCATCACAATACCAAAGGCAACTCGCGAAATGGGGTCTCAGCAAAAACCAAACACGAGTAGCCGATTGGGAGTTTATCGGGCGACGAACAGAGAAAAGAAAACGAAATGACGAAAAAGAAAGCGAGGTTCACATCGGTGGTATCCAGCTTCGGCCTCAAAAGATCAGGAAAGCAAAGTACAGGGAGGCCTTTGTATCGACAATGGACATAGTCCCTGGTGGTAAGATGGAAACTCAAATAGACTTGCCCAGTACATCGCTAATTCATTGCAAGCTCCGTCGCCGGCTACCCCAGAAGGAGTGGTTGTCTGCACCCCGGTGTCACCAGGGATGCGTCTTAAGTGGAACGCCTCTCTTCCATGGCTGCGATTCATCAGCCTACTAAGGCCTGAAATGAGTCAAGGTATGATAGTCAGCAGTCACCACTTTATCTTCAAGATGGATTGACCCTAACTCTCTTTTTGCAGATGCACCCTCTCCGTCGTCCTCGCTTACGGTACCCTCACCTCGGGAGCTCGATGTGCCCTCTCACACTGCCAGCCGGGAGCTTATGCGACGCTTGGCTTCGATAGTACCATGGAATAGACTCAACAGCCCCCAGAACATATACAGTAGCTCCCGAACTGCGGCAGCTTTGATGATTCTGATGCCAGAGAAGTCTGAGGGGGAACACCTTGAATTGTCGTCCAATTTGAGCGATTCCAAGCAAAATGGCAGAGACCGTCTGACTCTCGAGCTGTTTCTGTTGTCCAATAACCTCGTCTCACATGCACCTGGTGGACGGTCCGAAGATAGTATGCTATACGATGACGAACGTGTCATGGAAACGTTTAACGAGTCTGGGTGGAACAACGTCAAGCATCTTCAAATGTTGTTATCGACTCACGAACCGACGGCCGGCGCAATTGCAGAGAAGCTGTTCGCAAGTGCTATAAGATTAGTCGATGTGGACACTGTGAAAATGATGCTCGAGGCAGGAATGGATGTAAATGCAACAGTCGACACCATCCGTCACGGCCCTCTGAGCTCCCTGCAATTTGCCTCAGCAATTTCGGATAATGAGGGCCTAGAGCTCATGCAACTTCTTCTATCATATGGGGCAAATGTAAACCTCTCGCACAATGAGCATTCCGCTCTGGGGCTTGCTATTGACGAAAGGAATGATGAGATCACACGAGTGCTCCTAGATCACGGAGCTATAGTAACACCATCGTGTCTTTCTGCTATTGCCACCTACAGAACCATTGACAACCTTGTCAGGGACGTTATCAATGCTTGTCCTAATGTGAACGAGCGAACTGGGTGGCAGGATCCTAGTGCTCTCACCCGCGCTGTATCACATAGAAATGTTGCAATGATAGTCCTGCTACTCGCGAGAGGCGCCGAGATAAACGAATTAGTTGACATTGACTTTGACAATGACCTGGCTGTCACCACAGTGCTAGGAATTGCGGTCAAGTCTGGTCTTCGGGTGGTACAGTCCCTACTGTGTGCCTGTCGGAACGTCAACCCCAAGTTTGACGACTTTCCCTATGTATCGCCACTCGCGCTAGCTGTAGAGACCGGCAATACTGAAATTACCTGGACTTTGCTCCAAGCAGGGGTAGATGTTGAGGTTGCTGATGGGCAGGGTAACATGACATTGCTCGAACGTGCCACGAAGAAGAAGAACCCGAGCCTGTGGCGAGTGTTGATCGAATATGGTGCTCAACTTGACAGGCCTTCGTCTGACACAAAGCGCGCATCCTCAGCAATTCTTGTTGCTATAATGGAGAAGCAATCTGATCTGGTTGAGCTCTTGATCAAAGTTGGTGCAAGACTGAATGACGAATACAGCCAACCTCCCGGTACTGTCCTCGGGGCAGCCATTGAAATTGGGGACACATTATTGATCGACAAGCTGTTGGCTGCAGGCGCTAGAGTGCTGAAAGGACAGCTAAGGCGCATTGGGAACCTACATACTGCGATGTATCTGCAGCAACGTACTGTTTTGCAAAGAATTTTGCAGACCTCTGGACCGGAGATCTTGGCGGCCGCATTATTAGCCAGAGATGATGATTTTTGCCAGTACCTGCTTGAGTATGATGCCGATCTGGCAAAAGGACTTACAGATTCCCAGGACTCCAGGTGGGCAAAAACCCCCCTGGGAGCGGCAATACAGACGCGCAACTTTGTCTTCGCAGAGACTCTCTTGAGCCGTGGCGCTAAAGTCACAGAAGGCGATCTTGCGGACGCAATGAACTATTGTGGAGATAATACTGAATTTCTTCAACGCCTACTGCCTGGGTTCCGCGGAAGCGCCCCGACTGCGGTGGGAGTTGCGGTGCTCAATAATATGAAATGCCTAGAAGTGCTTCGAGAGGCAAATGTGGACCCCACTGGAGCACCACAACTGTTTCAGGACACCTGGGATCTAGACGACTTCGACTTGGAGCCTCCGCAATCGGCCCTTGAAATTGCGGTTGTAATGGGCAAAGAGGCTATGGGCAAAGAGGCTCTGGGCTTTCTTCTTCAGTGGACCGCTTGGGACCCTAGGCTGACCGGCCGTGCCTTAGTCATTGCAATCGGTTTAAATGAACACGACCTTGTCGACAGCTTGCTAACATGTGGCCCTGACCTGCGCCAAGAAGTCGCCATCAGATATATGTATTACGAAGACGAAGATAGTGAAACAAGGAATGAACAGTACGAAATCTTCACCCCTCTCCAGGCAGCGGTCAAAGAGCAGCTAGTTCCTGTGGCAAAATTCCTCGCCAAATCTGTCGATGTGGATTACCTAGGCGATGGTGCTCGTCGCCGGACACCGCTACAACATGCAGTTGAGAAAGGAAACATGGAACTCATCAAAATGCTTCTGCAACATGGGGCTAGGGTTGACGGCCCTCCTGCTAGGGACGGGGGTGCCACAGCTCTACAAATTGCAGCATTTCAGGGATACGTTGGTATTGCTCGAAGATTAATCGACCTGGGTGCGGACATCAACGAAGCCCCTGCCAGATTCAACGGACGTACGGCTTTACAGGGAGCGGCAGAACATGGTCGAATTGATCTGTTGCAGATGCTGCTTGATGAAGGGGCGTTAATTGTCGGTGATGGTGAACAGCAATATCAAAGGGCCGTAGAGCTTGCGGAGCAAAACGGACATAAAGCTGCTGCCCGGCTCTTGAGGTCTTTCAGGAGCTTGGTTCAGTTGAGTACTCCCTAGCTGTTCACAAGTTTTTTTTTTTTTTTTTTTTTTTTTTTTTTTTTTTTTTTTTTGGTAAAAGAGAAGGAAGATGTTTTGAGTTGCAACCATCTAGAATGGATCTGTCAGCGAGGGTTATAACCTTAACAATAACTGGCATATCCTAATATTGCGAAAAGCCTACAACTATGTTTTCAGATTGGCACATCCTGTGTATGTTTAATTTACCCAATGCATAAAGTACGAGGTTCTGAGAAGAACCGACAGGAAAGACAAATTGGCCAAGGCAACAAAAAAACTGCAAACATATTGCATTGAGTTAGGCGTGGGGAGATTCCCGTGCCAACGCGGGTGATCAGCTAAGAATTGAAGAAAGCCACCCAAAGCCACAAGTGCTCAGAGATGCAGTAGAAATTGTCATACGCCTCGGAATTCGGTATATTTGTATCGATAAGGTGTGCATCAAACAGAAATATGGAAAAGGGAAAACGCGTCAGATCTCAGCAATGTATGAGACTTAATAATTCGATCGTTGACGCAACCAGATCAGACTCGAACCACGGTCTTTTGGAGATTTCAAAGCATAAAACGGGGATCCAACCAAGAGTCGATCTATCCGGATGCCCATGGAGCTCAACACCAATAAATGCTAAAACCATGACACAGGAACCTGAATAGACTTCACGGGGTTGGACTTACCAAGAGGCCATAACATCTTCTTGACTCCTGATATTCACTGAAGAGCAAGTCTACTTTGAATGCTAAGTAATGCGAATATGACTACTTGCAAGGCTCACTTTTGATCGTCTTGGGATATTGCATTGTATGTCTGACTTCGGAATTGTCGTTGATTTCTTGATCCGAGTCACAAAGTCACGGCTATTGCGCTTCATGAACATACTGTCCTCGGCCCAATAGTTGTCCTCGTAATCTGCTTCGAAAGCACTCTTCAATTGCTGGTAGTACCTTCCTTCGGGGCCCAAGATAGCGCTCCCACCCATAACCTTGCAGTCTCCCGAGAAAATCTTAGCGAGACTGCTGACAACTAAGTCTACATGTGGAAGGACATGAACAGTTGATGGAGTTTCCACTCTTCTCGTCAACAACCACGCCGAATTCACCATAGAGTCCTGGTAAGCATTAGAGATCTCACCGCGATCTGCCCCCTCGCCCGAAAAGGTATTTAGGAAGACGAGACAAGCGGCTGCATTCTGAGTGTAATCGGTGTATGTGTGGGAGACCGAAGTTCCAGAACCACCACCTCTGATAGCACCTGTGGCATCACCACTGCTGCAAGAAGAAGACGAATAGGTATATTCATGATCCACCAAAACATAAAACCATTTTTCACCTGGCGTGACATTAGAGCCATATGCGGATCAACGACGTACACGAGGGAGCCAGAGCCAGAACTAGAAGGAGATACCAAATGGCCTTGGTAAGTATCGCTGCCGGAGCCAGTGACGCTAAATGCATGATTTGGCCCAGTGACAGATGCACCCATGAACCTTCATGGCCATGGAAACAGCAGTACGAAATCAGCAGCACGGGACATACAACAAGCGGAATAAGATGTCAGGATAGGTATAGAAAGGCGACGATGTACATAGCGACTACCACTACGGTGGCTTACCCGGCCGCCACTCGGCCTACAGGGCTGACAGATGCGTGTATGAACAATAATAATAATAATAATAATGCCTCGACCCATCGCTTTTGAACGACACCACTACGTACTTTGGTACGGTAATCAGATCTGCTGTCTCGCGCGCTATGTAGTCGAGATCGCGGGATTAATAGTTAATGTCTCACTAGCTGTTACATACATTCGATCATATAATCCTAAAACAAAGCATAGACGTATAGTAATGGAGACGGCAATGACCTAAAAAAACAATCATTCCGGACATAAATAATTCATGTTTTGTGGCGTATTGAACCCGATCACTGAGTTTTTGGCCCAGTCGTGGAATCATTTCCAGCTGGGCCTGCACAGAACTTCGAACTCAGACACTATCATTCGCCCAAAATCTGGATCCATGAACCTCTTGTCTTCAGTTCCACGCTTTCTTTGAAGCATGCCTATCATTTCAACTAGCCGCTGATCGACCTGATTATCTGAGCTGGCATTCTGCATAGAATGCTCAGATCTTGATTTGCTTTCTGTCGAAGAGAGCTTTCGTCAGCATGTCCTTGTATGGTTTCAAAGGCCGATTTAATTACCTAAGGTGTATTCTTGCAATGCCGTTGCTTCATATTGCTGATCCATAGTCGCAAGTCCTTTGTCATGATGATCGGCCCCCTTCAGGCTTCGTATTCCATAAGATGCAGTTTCACCCATATACCACACAGCTGTTCCTAGTTTAGTACTTTGCGTGTGTAAAGAGAAGGGAATTAGATGTTGATGAACTTACTCTTGAATGGCAAAGCGGCAATTTTCCCACAAAACACTGCCGAGCCAAAGCCCACTGTCTTAGCCACTTTCACGGCCATGTCTGCTTTTGATAACTCGATCTTCCTGTTTTCCGTTTTGGTATCTGAATCGACCTGAGCCTAAAGGTATTGCAAAAATGGTTAGAAAATAACATGAATGTGATGACAAATTTCCTCACCTCTCGCCAGCTACACGCATCTGAGATGTGCGAGATTGTTGGCTTAACAGTAGCTTTGATGAGGCTCTTGCTAACAGACTTGACCTTAACAAGGCTAGATCCCGTTTTTTCGATAACAACAACTTCTTGTTCACTCTCGGTGCTTTGTGGTTTGCGCTTAATCCTATTCAAGTTCGTTTTTAGGGACGTGATTTTGAAGGTTGCATCATAGGATCATACATACAATTCCAATTCTGACCTTCGTATTGCCTTGGACCTCATCAGTACAGCTGCAGCAACAGTAGATAGCTTGATTGTTGGCTTCTCACGCAGCCGATAGACCGCAGGATCGGCTTTAGTGATGCTGCATTGAAGTTCATCCCAATTGAAATGGCGGTGGAATGAATTTACTGCAGATTCAACGCCATTCTCTAGCCGAATCTGTTCCCCGATGTGTTGTACAGCCTCTCGAACCTCAGGCCGAAGGCAGTGGCGCACTGCATCCACGAATGGCTCAGTAGAAAAGTCTTTCTCCTGAATTGGAGCTGGACCGATGCACGCGTTGTGGATCACCGAGGACCAGAAAGGTTGACTAGACCGGGGGTAAGCAAGGCTGTGAATGCAAGATTGTGAGCAACATCACTTACTCTCGAAGAAGTGGCAACGAAACCATCGGCTTTCCATGACGCAGTCCCATTGAAATTGTTGCAGTGTCACCATGTGTAAAGAGCACGGAGACTTTTGGCATTAGCCATTCTATAAAAATCATCAGCCAAGCCTTAGGGTCGGGGGAAGATCTTGAATCGTTCGCTCACCAATCGGAACATTTTCTAGGACAAAGATGTTCAGAGCCCCTGAGAGGCCGCTCACTAGGCGGAATCCACTTGGTAAAAGGAACGCCAGCCCGTATTTATTCGAGGCCTCTTTAAGGCATCGCACAAAATTTTCCAGGTTTCCCAGCAATGTGACGTCTAGTGAGACAAATATAGGCGCGGGTGTTGATTCTAGGAATCGGACTAGCTCTTCCGATGGTGTATAAGAAGACTGGCCTTCTAATAAAATATAACCCGATAAATCTGTAAGAACCAATTTTGTTAGATGGAAGAGATTGCTGGATAAGTGCTAAAGTTCATACCAATCATGTCTTCCCAGTCAGTTGGTCTTTGGATCAAGGCAGAAGAGCAAAGATAGGTATGAGGAATATTCAATTGCCTTAGTAGGCTCCCTCCGCCTACTGGTAGTCTTTGAAGGCCTAGAACTGCTTGTCGAAAATGATCAATAACATGATACACCCTAGTTGTCTTTTAGTGATAGTTTTAGTATATGGTAATAGCCGTACTTACTCATGCAACAGCGATTCCTCAATCAGTAAATAAGAAAGGTAGTTTTGCGTCTCCCGATTCATCTCGCTATCTGCTTGAACATGTGCCAAAGGGTGTGCGAATTGCCTCGTCGGGGTCCAAGGGGTCGTAGACATTATGTGAAGTGGGATCGACAATCGTTCAGCGCAGTGTAGGTGAACATGAGCAAGAGGTGTTGCTACTATCGCATCAGCAAGGAAAGGCTTATCCTTCCAAAGCCCAGGATGAGTGCAGGCAATCCAACAAGACTTAAGGGAGTCTATAAGTATTTTGCTGTTCTTCATGGCTTCACTCTTCTTTGGGCTGATTAACCCGGGCATAAGCCCTGAATCTAGTTTCTAGTCCAATATTTAGCATCGAACAACGTTTGTGGGTTGGTTATTATTGATTTTTCAACACTTACAGCCATTGGGTGATCTGGGTCGCTACTGACTGAGAAAAACTCTAGCCCGGCCTTTCTCACAAGCGTGGAGAAGATTGAATGTGTTGCGACTCGAACTCGGTGTCCATGACGGCAAAGTCCCTGGCCAATTGAAATGCAGGACTTGACATCATCTGCAAAGATAACGTGTATTAGTACTGCTAGATTGTCTAGTCACTTGTCGAAAGATTGGCTTACCCCTACTTCCAACGAGCATCAGAACGATATCTAGCCCAATTACATTAGTCGCAGGGGGAGTTTCCATATGGTCCCTATTATCTTCCACTTCAGGTTTAGACTTTGGCGTTGTCACTATGTCGATCATATGTGGACGTTGTGCCGGGATTGAAAATCCCTGGAAAATAACAGATGTCCGACTCCCAGCACTCAGATCGATGCTGAAACGGCCACTGTCTGCGGTAACAAATATGTCAGTTCATGTTCTCCAAAAAGTAATATTGCACCGGGCCGACACTACCTTCAAGGGCTGCTAGAGTATGCTGATTTTGATTATTGCTGAATGTTGGCGATGTTAGGGGTGCTTCAGTGAAGAGAGAACTATACGTCGGCGGTAGCTCATCGGCGTCGAAATCGTTTCCAGAGAAATCATCCTCAAATCTGGTGAGCTCTTGTTTCGATGACATTGTTTACCTATCACAAGGACTGATTGTTCTTTTTTTTTTTTCCCTTTCCCTTGAATGGCTCAGATTCAGTTTTGCAAAGATGGAGGAGGCTAGTAAGAAACTCGATCCATCCGAACTTTATATATATTATCTATAGCTTCAGTTAGGCAGCTTCATTGTGAAAAAAATATACTATAAAAAGATTTTAGTGTCAGGTTGGGGGAAGAAATCGCTAGTTTGAATCTTTTCAAGTTCTCTTGAAGTTCTAGAAGTCCCCGCTTCTGAAAGTTGAAAGAGTGATCACGAATGCCGAATACGATGAGTGCTGTAGATTTGGAAGACCAAGGCTGAGTTGAGTGCCCAGGTGGGAAACATGCGGAATGCGAGGTTCGGGTTCGTATTCGGATTCGTATTCGGACATTTAAACTACCATGCTAATCAAAAATAAACCCACGCAAAAAAGGATATCTTTCAAAGCTTGGAATGTATGTAGTTACCTATTGTGGTGGATAATTTGGCGAAGTCATCCACAATTGACGCCCTGAAAAGACGAACCAGTAGAAAACGCGCACAGCGTTTATAGTCCGTCGAACCAACCGTGGAGTGCCTTCAAGGGAGATTTGGAGATTGCAGCCTCGAAGATTGTGACGGCTCGACGTCGCTCATACAGCTTGACGCTGCGTCTACGGTTAATAATGGCAAACGGCACCGAACCAAGCCGACATGCGTAGAACCCTGTCGTACAGTGGTTATAAAAAACCCCTTCATCCTCTAGATATGTTTCCTCTTCTTTTCTTTCTCCAGGTTCAATAGTCTTGACATGACGTTTTCCCCGTAGGGCCACTATTAACGCCAGTGGAGTACTAAATAGAAGTATTCTATATATCCGGGGACCTTGTGTCTTTCGTATGCACACTTTAGAGACATTTACCGGGCTGCAAGATGGATAAGCATCATAGGGTTAAAAGGATTTCTGAATGTTTTAAAAAAAAATTTAGGGTTCGGCATGAAAATGAGAATACGAATAAGAACCCGAAATTGCGGTTTCCATTGGATCGCAAGACTCGGGTTCGGATTGGGACTCGGATTATTTCCACTGATCGCCGTGCGGAGTCTACATAGACAATCGGGTGCGGGAGTAGACTCCTTATGGTCGTGAAGTTTGTATCTGTGGATTCAAACAGTTTTCACATGGCCCATATTTATTATTGTCACGACAGCCATCGACGAAGGTCGGTCTAGGTAGGTAACAATGTCAGTATAGTATTTGTTATTTAACAGCTATAATACATATATGATTCCTTCAAGAATGGTCTCCAAGACCGCGGAGGTCGTAACAATGAAAGATTAGCTTATTTGAGATCAAAATCGTCACGTTTAGTAACCTCTATAGTTCTGTAAACTAAAGTTAATATATTTCTAGCGTCGCTTTCTTTACTAATAGTTCCCTAATCTTTCTCCGAGAAGAGGCATAGACCTTTCTTAGTGCTATAGAAAGATCCCTAATATACCCACCTAGACCGACCTCCGTAAATCGTTTTCATTGCTCCACCTGGGTTCTATTTGCCACAGCGCTGAGCAGGCCCATACTTTCTACCGGCACACAAGGTAGGCCCATAGTTTCAAGCTTGGTCGAGATACGAAGACGTTGCACCCTGCCGAGGAATCCGAGCAGAGTTTTAGGCAACAACGACGACCACCACCACCACGAGTGTTCCGGGGTTGTCTAAGCCCCTGATGTATCATGGTAGGGTTAGCATGAATAGTAGTTGGTGAGAATATATATAAACTGTGGACCCAGCTGCTTCATTGGATCAATATTTCTTTCTTTGCTCGTTCTCTTCATTCAATTGACAGGTTAGAATGAAATATTTTGCTAAATTCTCACTTCTGGGTTTGGCTTCTGCCAGTCTCAGCCCTACACCCATCTTGACTGGCACGTCCGTTCCAACCTCCCTTGGCTCGTTCAATCTCACCAGAGGCGCAGCATGTGCATGCCAGAAGCTTTCCCACTACTCCAGCGGAGTCATTCTCCCGAATGGCACAAACTATACTGCTGAGACTGTGGACTCCTACTGGGATGTTCGGACTGATCTGTCTCCTGCTTGTGTTTTCCTTCCTGCAACTCCAAATGAGGTGGCGCACGCCCTTGAGATATTCGACGTCTGTAATGCACAGTTTGCGGTCCGCGGTGGAGGACATATGTGTGTAAGTATATGATCCAGCACCCATTAGCCCTGATACTGACTGTTAAACAGTACCCGGGATCAAACAACATCGACGGTGGTGTCCTCATGGGCCTTTCAAGGCTGAACAACGTTAAAGTCAATGATGACACCATTGAAGTAGGACCAGGTCTTACCTGGTATGATGTCTACTCAGCTCTCGAGCCTCGCGGTCGCGTCGCCATCGGCGGTCGATTGAAGACAATCGGTGTTCCTGGACTGACTCTCATTGGCGGCTTTCACTATTTCAACAACAAGTATGGATATGCCATGGACAATGTGATCAGCTACAACGTTGCTCTTGGAAACGGCACCCAGATCACCGTGAACAAGGACTCTCATGCGGACCTCTTCTGGGCTTTGAAGGGCGGTGCCAATAACTTCGGCATCGTAACCAAGTTCACACTGAAGACCTACGACATGCCAAACGTCAGCACGACCATCCAGACATACAATGAAAGTGGGATTCCGGATTTCATGGCCGCGGTTTGCAATGCTGCCAAGCTCGACGAGGAGAACCCCATTGCGGCCGGTATGGTCGCTTCGATATCATACAATGTTACCACGAAAGCGGCATCGGCTTCGCTACTTGGTGTGCAGGAAGGCTCCGACAGTCCTCCATCTCAGTTTGCCAACTTCTCCGCTATTCCGGCAACGAGCAGAACCAATAATGTCCAAACAATGAAGAAATGGGCAGGAACTCTGGACTCGCCTAAGCAAATGTTCCGGTAAGGAATTGACTGAGCCGTCACCCTAAGCCGATTTGTCTCTCTAACTTCCTTAACAACAATTTTAGAGTCATGTATTCCCACAAGAGCATGAAGCCAGATCCAGATGTTCTTTACTCACTCTACAAGATATGGAAGGACGCGGTCAACGAGATCTCCGATGTTGAGGGTCTTTATCCAACATTTGTGACCAACGTGCATGCGCCCGGTTCTGCGCGAGTTGCACAGAACAACGGTATTGGCAATGTCTGGGGTCTGGAAGCAGAGCCTCTGATTTGTAGGTGACTTTCCTTGCACATCACCAATCTTGGGGCTACGAACAGCAGTTGACTTTGGCCCTAGTGTGGCAATTTAGCACCGGATGGGCACTGGCGCAGGACGATATTCGCGTTCAAGCCTGGTCGCGCCAGCTTACTGAGCGACTTCATGCTATCAACATCGAGAAGGGACTTGCCTCTGACTTTGTCTACATGGGCGATGCAGGTGAGTGGCAGGACCCCTTTTTAGGATTCCCGGCCGAGAATGTAGTCCGCATGAGAGACATCAGGGCATCTTACGATCCCCGGGGCATTTTCTCGCGACTCAATTGGGGTGGTTTCAAGCTTGGTGTGTGAAGGAAATTCGGTCCATAGTGTGACGGCTCAACGCCGTCTCATGTGGCTGATATCGATAAAACACCGCCATACAAGCAAACAAAGAGAGCACTTGGCGCGGCCACAGAACCCATGGATAAAAACCGCTTTCTCCTATAGATAGATTCCTTTCCTTCTTTTCTCTCCATATTTGATGTTCTCGTTGATGGCTACAATAGTCTAGATAGAAATTTAGTTCGTTAATATCTACTATTCCGAGCCTGTGACACATAGGAACATGTAACATATGCGGGTGAACCAAATCTGGGATGGCTCCCTAGATACTAGCGAAGTATCTTCCGAGGTTATACCGTGTAAAATAAACATGAAGCAAGTTATGGGTGCAAAATGAAAATTACCATGGTTCATTTTTTTTTTTTTTTTTTTTTTTTGCCATACCAGACCTTTTGGTCCCTTCCGCTTTTTTTTTTTTTTTTTTTTTTCTTTTTTTTTTTTTTTTTTTTTTTTTTTTTTTTTGGCATTTTCAGAGACCAAATATGTTACAAAGTCGACTAGAATTACCCTTTTCGACTGGATCTCGGTGGAGACTCGGAGTGCCGTTAGGTTCGGCCCTGTTGGAGTACCTATATTTGATGGTATTGTCCTGTCATCCTGATATGCACTACCCATGCATTAGGGGTTAGAGCTGTATCTATAATACTGGGTCGTGACCAACAGAAGACCAAGTGAATGCAACTATCTTAAATATGCTACAAAGAAATATAAAACCACTCACCGTTTCCCGCATGAACTTAGTAATAGGTGTTTCAATAACTTAGAAGTGCCATGTCGAAGGCATGGTCGTTGATTCAAGGTTTTCTAGCGTTGCCGTTCCTTACGTGCTTGTCTGAGGGAGCTCAGGAGTGCCCCGCTATCGGTCTGACGTTGATTCCCGCTCGGTAGACTGAAGCGCTGGAACGGTCTACTTAAATTGTTACTATCAAACCCATCCATCAAAAATTTCATGTAGTATTTTTCTTTTCTTTGTTTGCGCGCGGGATACTTCCAAAAATTTTTGAGGATGATTCTCGTTCATTTCGATCTTTCATTGTCCCCATTGATGATTTCTTGGGGCCAGGAAAGCCAATCTTGATACTTTGGGTCCAAAACAGAGCACAGCTGCATCATCAGGCGCTGACTGAGACCTTCCATCCACCACATCCAGTCGATTTGGTGAATGCACGCACACCAGTAACCAAAAATAACCAGGGAAATTGGTGTTTCTTGTCGAAGCAGCTCTAGGTATTCATCCGAGACAGCAACAAGCCACCGGAAGATATCAGCGGTCTCAAGCCTCCGCCTGGCACCTGGCTTTATAGCTATACTCAATGTCCGCGCTAGTCCATCCAACGCGTCTTGATAGATTGCCCGAGTAGATGGGTCCGGGCACTCTCTGCGTATGATTTCTTGTAACTCCTGGACATACTGTCTTCCCAGCTCAAGTGCCTGTGGCTCGTTATGGGCAGCGGCTAGATAAGCTCCGTTTGTGAAGATAGGCCCCAGAATTCCTCTAGTAAGGTTTTCGCGATTCGAAGAGATCACTGTTCTTGTACCTCGGAAAAGACAAGCCCATTCCGATAGGTTTCCACCGTCAAAAAGAAAGAGGAAATCGTTTTCTCCTGATGGCTTGGCACATGAGGTTATGCACGTAAGAGAAGTGAACAGAAAAAGCGCAGAAACATTTTCCAATGCAAGGGAAGAGACAAATGGGACAATTCCTTTCACGGCAATGGAGTGGTGCATCTGTGCGCAATCAAGGCAGCTTTCTCGTCGTGATTCATCAGACCGAGCTACATGCAGTGACGACAGAGCCAGTAAGGCGTGTAGCACGGGCGGTGCTGTAAAGCCTATGTGAGGTACTTGGTCACGCCAGACAGCCTGTACTGCTGGAGACTGTGACAATGTGTAGCAAGTTGAAGTCGTGTAGTGATGCAACAGTTCTAAGTCGAAAACAGTGAACGTAGAAGGAGAAGACGTCAATGGCGCCACGATTGGTAAGTTTTGGGAATATATGTAGGCTGGCTCAGAGCTTGCGCTACCTAGCCCTGACAGCGATTCAGGTGACGCCGGTGATGCAGGTGACTCTGTCGAAGGCGCTTGCGAGCTACTAAGTTCGGCTGAGGGGCTGGCAAAAGAACAGCTCACCCCGTGCTTGTTGCAGTTGCCACAGACGGGCTTGCTTTCGTCGCACTTCCAATGAATCATGAGCCGTCATCCAAGAGGGAGTTGGTCAATCTCTTACCTTGACCTTTCGTCTTTTGCATTGTAAGCACCCCGCCCTTGACTTCCGATGCGAGCGGCGGCCCGGAGGAAATGTTTTCATGTCCATCATTTGTTCCAGCGAGCGACGGGTATCCTTTAAAAGCACATGGATTAATGCTAAGCCCTAAATGTCTTGAATACAAAACTCGACGTTTACGCAGAAGCAATAGAGAAAAGCCTACTCCCAGGGATGCGCAGGGTATCTACCGAAGATGTGGCAAATCCCTAAATATCCACGCTAAGTCTAAAAAAGGCTAGTGTCAAATACAATAATTTGATTGCAATCTTCGTTCAGACAGCTTCCTCTAAATCTTTACCACAATTGCTGCATAAGAAGACTACCGGTTTTAAATCCCCACCGCAATTGCTGCAGAAGAAGATTACCGGTGATGAAATGTTCAAAGGGCCATCCTGTGTCTGGCTGGGCTCATTCTGACTAGAGCCAGTTGGTGAACCAGGGCGGCCATTGTCCAGGAACTTGGTCAGTCAAATTTAAGCTGAAGTAATTGTAAGAGCTGTACTCACTCCATATTGCCAAAAAAAATCCTGGAACCCTCAAGATCAATGGCGTGTGGACGTAAAAGATAGAAAATAAAAAGTATGGTGAGAAGCAAGAAACAGCACGGGGATGGGGTCCTTTTTGTATATTTTCTGGGCTAAGATCTTTTTCGTTTCGATGGAGTGCTTACCCATAGATCATTACTTGGTATAATTATGCCTTTTCACTAGCGAGGCTGTCTACATACTATACATATACGACTGTTGATCTTTATTTATTCAGTACGTCAAGTATTTCCCTGTATGTCGTGATTTTGTGTCACCCACTCTTTCTTTCTTTCTTTTTTCTTTCTTTTTTCTTTCTTTCTTTCTTTTTTTTTTTTTTTTTTTTTTTTTTTTTTTTTGGCATTCTGAATATTTATACTAAATTTGCTTCAAGTATGGATACCCTGACCAGCTGAATGGACTGTTAGTTATCATATTTATGATGTGAACGTGCTAGAGATTATATCAAATCCATTGATCGACAACATCAATTATGCGTATATATACAAGCCAGACAATAATAATAAATATCAACATCTCCAGGTAAATCCATGCTTTTTCAAATCCCTCCATTCTTTAGCATGTATAAGAAAGCCCAGATCCCACCGCATCGATGATTGTGGTTCTTCATTCAAAAATGCAGCTGAGCAATGTAAACGTCCAGTAGTCTCATCATGATAGCGAACATGCAACACAATAAATGCCTCTGAACCAGGGCTGTATGTCACACCACAGTAATTTTTGAATATTTTAATTCGACCGGAGAGGCTTCCGTCTAAAATGGGCCAGCCATGATTGTTCTGCTTCATTATCACCTATTCATTTATTGTCAATAAAAGCACAAGTTATCCGGTGCTTCGCTGTCATGTACGATCACCATCAATGGCAACCGATTTCCACTACCTTTAGAAGATGCCGGCATTGATCGAGACGAGTTCGCAAAAAAACTTGGCCATGGTCGTTAAATTATAGATCTGGTCCACAGTGGGCCAAGATTTCAACTTGGAAATATGAATTAGAATAGAAGAGACAAGTACTAACTAGGGGTATAATAGTAGAGAATATATGTGCGTTCCTGATCCGTCAAATCAGATATTTATCCTCTAGTCCCTATCCCATACGGTAGCCTTGTATAGTTTATAATAACCGACTCCCCATGCTAATCCTGAGCTAAACCCCTCTCAAACATGACCGACCAGACCGTCACAACCTTGTAACCGAGCTGCCTCGAAATCAAAATGGGTCTAATACCATTTGGCCCAGTTTTCCCTCGATTCCTAGAGGTGAACTTCATCATCAAAAGCAAGGCTAGCCCTAATGGATTACGGCCTGCCTCACACATCCCCGTTTCACGATGGCGCATACTTGGCTCAGAGATTTACTAGTAATGATTGCAACTTATCCAGCATCAACAGAAATTAATACTACCGAGAAGAACAGCGCGCAAGGTCTTGTGCCTCAGAGGACTTAGATGATCTGTCAGATGGTTGGCAAGAAGAGGTTCTTCATTATCCTTTTTATATCCGTCTAGGAGCACAAGACACCGTTTTTGCAAGAATATCCAAAGCAACATCCATCTTTGGACCCGAATGTCACGGAGCATAGACATTCACTGAGCATGGACAGTCACTGAGCCTCGCTTAAACCCTTCGCACACATTAGATAGCTCGTCGCCGGCAGGCCTGCCTCTTTCCTTTTCTCTCCTCATGTTAGAATTTTGTCAGATAATCTACCAATATACTCATATTGCTCGGGACCGTCACACCGAATAGGCTACATAGAGATTCCTCGACCACCCACGGGGGTGATTGGATGCATACTCAAACTTTGTACCCTGCAACTCATCAACAAAAGGATTATCAGAAACCACAGGAAAGTGGATGAAATCCCCCCAGTCAGACCAGACGCCAAACCACAGAATGAGACCGCCTCCAGAGCTGGAAAGCTGTTACTGAGAGTCTGAAACATCCGTCTTACGTCCTCAAGGCTTGCATCAAGTCTCATAATATTCAACCTGAGGATCCGGAGTGTCTGTCGGCATTTCATAAGTAGAATCATCAAGTCTTCAAGTGATGCCCAGATATATTCCAGTTGCAGGTCCTGTAATTGTGACCATGGGGGATCTGCTAATGCAAAGGCAGTGGATGAGTGCTGGGCCCTCTTTCTCACTTTGGCCTTTAAAATGCAGTGTGTGAAGTTTGGGGGCATGAAATAAAATGTTAAATGTCCAGTCACGAACCATGTCAAACTCAAGTGTATAACGCAGTTTTAGCCCTTTTAGATGCTGGCCAAGTGCAATGAACTGGGCCTTGTCTGACACTTGCAGTCGTCGAGGGTCTGGATGGTTGCCATATCCATAGCCCATGAAATTCACTGTAAGCGCAGTGACAGGAAGACTAGCCCTTGTGATAACATTGAAAAGAGTTGTAATTGAGTCTGTTGGTCTAAAATTGGCATCATCTGAGTGATCTTTGGGCTTGGTGCAAACAGCAAAAATCTCAAATGACTTGCAGTTGACCAGTTGGCAGAGGATGTTGTGTAACTTGCACAGCGGAGTGTTCTTGGAGGTTGATGAGATGGCCAGAAAGATGGCGATAATGATTCCATTGAAACCCCCCTCCAAGAGTATCGTTACTTTCGTCGAATCCTCTAAAGGCCATGTGGTTCACGTAACGCTGTAGTTGGGTGTCCCTTGAGATTGTCTTCAATTTCTGCAGACTGGCAAGGGACAAATCAGACTTGACGCTTTGCAGGGAAGTCTTCCAAAACACAGAATATGTTTGTTGATAAAGGAACTTGCATGTCATCCGTAAAGTACACAAGTCGGTTGGTTGCAATAAGGATGTCACCACTTCGACTAGCTCGGGTGGTAAAGCGCATAATGGAGCCGGGGCAAGGAGCCCAGGGGACCGCCTCCGGCGATAAAGGCTCAGGGATTTCAATTTATGGATAAGACGTTTGCTGCGGTTTAAGACCATGTTTCCTTTTCGTTTATACGTCAGGATGGGGAAGATCGTTGGATGGCGTCTAATTTAAGTAGTGCTCGGGCTGCCGATCCAAGGCTGAGACGAGGCTGATTTTGCTGCTCAACCCACTACAGTACATTTCAATTGCTCCGGAGCTCCGGTCTTAGAAGTCTCTGCGGCCAATTGGAGTGTCAGAAAAACTCGCAATCGAATATGATTTGAAGCAGAAGCATGTCTGGGTTTCATGCATCAGATTTGGCCAATGCTTGATCACCGATATCCAAAGTCTGGACGCGCTGAAAAGGCGAGGTTACTTGTTTACACTACTGCACCGAAATATATATTTAAAACCATGCGGAAAGAAAGTCACGTAGATCGAATAAATCATATCCATAAATTCAAACAAACGCTGCGCTAAAACAAATCTCAAAAAGAAGATACAAACGAGGTGGTATTAGAAAACAAACAAAATATCTCAAACACCAACAGAGCTCAAAATCGTATAAACGCCAAACTATGTGACAGACAGAAAAGCAAAAGGTATCAAGTATCATCAGTAATCTTAACAGTCGCGAACACGAGCCTGGCGCTTGGCTGTTCCGATATGTGTGTTGTGCACCTTCGTGGCGAACTTGAGACTGGTTAGGGTCTCGGCCAGGTGTGCCTGCAGTGGGCTGACCATCACGAACATGAGGGTCTTGGAGTTGCCTCCGAGGGAGAATTGCAAGAGGTATGTAAGCTAAATCCATCGAGTTAGCGCTAAATAATCAAGACGTGGGGAAATATAGTGCAACATACCTTGCTATTCCGGTAGGGGATGTGTCCACCTTCCTTTCCTTGTCCCAGGGCGGCAATCACATCTCCCAGACAGCTCAAACTGCGGTTGATGTTCTGCGTCTCCCTCAGTCTTTCACCGGTAGCTCCACTGTGGCTCAGGCGCTCACTGCCTGCCAAGTCCACCAGGTTAAGGGTTCCCTCGCTGCGCTCGCCCGTGATGTGGTTGTCTCCAATGAGTTTGAGAATGAAAACAGAGTGAGACCGCGAAGACCGCTCGTTGGCCTTGGTGGCAGCAACCGAACGGTTGGCTGCGGCCCGCTTGAGGATCGTCTCGACCATTTCGGGAGACTCCAACCGGACAGTGCTGACATCGGTGATGATGGTTTTGCCCCGTTGCATGTCGTGGCGAATCTCGTGCTTCTTCTTGTCCAAGTCATCGGCGCTGCCAAGCAGGTCGTTCAGGTTTTCGTTGTAAACTTCGACAAAGTTGCCTTCCATCGTGTACGTCCAGCCCTTCTCCTCAAGTCCTTGGGCCGTCTCGTAAATTTGGTGAACTGCCCGAGGGATCATTCCATCAAGAGAGGACATCGTGTACGTCTTTCCACTGCCAGTTTGACCGTAGCAGAAAATGCACACGTTGTATCCGTCCAGAGCACTTTGCACAAGCTGGCTGATCTCATCGAAAACCTCCCCGTTCGCTGTCGATGGGCTGAACACGCGATCGAAAGCGAAGTTGCTGTTCTTTTTAGAGACAGCTCCCAAGCTGCTCTTTTCCTCTGGGCCCAGGACATTGATCTCCTTTGACTCATCTGACTGGTCTGGATACCCGATCTGGGCGATGTCGGTCTCGGGTTCGGTCTCCAGGGACGGCCGGACTCGACAGAATACCCGAATGTTGCCCTTGAGTTCCTGAACCTGGTTGTGTAGCTTCCGACGGAGTGTCTCCTCCTTCCGCAGCTTGTCTTTCACTTCGTTGGTCTCTTCCAAGGCATCCGTCATTCGCTGGTTCAATCGCTCGAACGCTGAGGATTGTTCCTCTCGTCCGGACTCGAGGAATTCGATTCTAGCCTTCAACGCGCGGATCGACGATTCAAGAGTAACGCTGTTGCCGCTTGCAGTGTCGAGGTTCTGGCGAAGATCTTGGGTATTCTTCCGCTCCCGCTCGAGGTTGTCGCGCAATGCTTGCAAGTCGTCCTGCAGTGTCCGGATTTCTCGATCCTTCTTGTCGACTTCAATTTGCACCCGTTGCGTGTCAAGGGCTGTCTGAGAGTTGACTTGGTTAAGCTGTCGTTGCCGCGCAGCTCTTTCGTCCTCCAAGTCACGCTCGAATCGACGCTTGAGTTCGCGGTTTTCCTCTTCTTGCTGAGCGCTTAACGCTTCCACCTGCTTCTTGCTCTCTTCTCTTGCGTTGTCCACCTCGATGCGCTGCCGTTTATTCATGCGTTCCAATTCGTTTTCGTGCTCTTCTTGCGTTTCTTTTAATACGTTCTCCATCGTTTCCAATCGGGATTTGGCCGTCTCGAGTTCCACGCGTAGGGTAAGGTTCTTGTCCGACAATTGATCCTTGGATGTTTCCAACTCGTTCACTGCACAAGTCATTTATTAGACTGCCCCTTCCCGTCGATCGCAGAACACTTCACTCACCTCGTGTCTTGTACAGCTCAACAGTTTCTTTCAGGCCAAAACTATCCTGCCCGGCTTTGCCAACCTGGGTCATGAAGGTATTCATCAACTCCTCCATATGTTTCTCTCGACGTTCTAGGTCCCATCCGGCATCTGTAAAGGTGTTAAACGCTTTGACCGTTGAATCTTTTGAAAGAAAGGGAATAATGGGTGATGGATGTCTTCTGGAGGAAGTCTTGGGAGGGGATAGGGGCCTATCTGGAAGGGATTTCACTGGGGTAGATATGGGGAGTTTTGATGGCGATGGTTTCTTGGGTCCATCCTGTACGGGTTGGTGGCATAGGGGTCCAGAGGATGGTTGGTCTAAAGTCAATTGCTCCATGACTGTGCACAGGGAAGACTCCCGGCGGCCAGACTCAGCGGTAGTCTTTCTCATATCTGGCAGAGATGTCTGGTTTTTGACGTAGCCCCACGAGTCGTTCCTGTGCACGCCTGGCAATGACCGTCCTGGGAGAGAGGATGTGGCATAGGGAAAAAACCAATGGGATTGTTGCCTACCCTTTCGTTTGCCCAAAACACTTCCAGCGGTCTCTTCATCGTGGGAATCCAAGGACGTAGCGGGTCTGGGGATCGAGGGGCCGGTTTGTTTGCGAGGACCACCGAGGGCCGACTGTGGTCGAGCTGGTTGTCGTGTGGTAGTGGCGGTTCGCGACGAAGATCTGGTTGAAGCTGCGACGGACTTTGCTCGGGTGTGTGCGCGGGTCGTGGTATTGCCGGTCTTGGACGTGGTCGTCCCCCCGGGTCCGGTTTTTCTGGTTTCAGGGGCTTGCGTTGTGCTTCTTGAGCGGGATAGTTCTGTTGTGCGTCCTTCTGTCAGTCCCACAAAGCTTAACGGCATTGGTATCGCGTCTGTTCGACGTACGTGGTAGATTGGAGGGCTGTTTGGCGATTGTACCGGGCTTCATAAGACCCGAACGAGAGTTGGCGAAGGCCGGGTTGGCCTCCTTCAAACCTCCGGGAACGCGAGCGCGTGTAGGCGCCTTCGAATGCACCTGCGTATTGTGAGTCGAATGAGACCATGCACGACCTTGCATCCGGCGGGAATTACCATATTCTCGTCGTTCATGATGGGGCCGTCTGTTCAGTCGGGTGGTTTCGTCGACGGGCTGAGGAAAGGGGTGAAGTGGATAGATGGGAGATGAGACGAAAGAAAGATCAATTCTAAGGACTCCAAGTAGAATTAAACCGTCTCAAAGCGCTGCACCGTAACCACCTCTGCTGCGTTGAGTCGTTGATATGCTGTGTTTGGTTTCTGGAGGGACCAAAACAAACGTAAACAAACGGAGCTGACTCAGCGCATCTGGCGGGGCAGCGCTATACCAGATGAGGTTAGTGGTATTATTACAATATTCAATACACGATAATACAGATACACCCTCTATGCTGAAGAACTGAGCAGAATTACCTTCAATTATAGAATAGACTAATTCAATTGTACCCCAGGGGTATAATAGGCTGCATATTCAAGGACAACTCTCTACAATATCGGTCGCACCTGCAACTGTCCTGAAACGGGGGTGTAATTCCGGGTGCGGATGCTCCTAGACCGACCTCCCGCAGCGCAATCGTCGGAGCTAGAATAACAGCTTAACCTCGCGCTCTCAACGTGGTCTCTCTTTCTCTTCTCTCTTCTATCGCACATATTTCTTGTTCTCCTTTTGTTTTTCTTTTCTCTCATACAATTACAGAGTCATGTCTGGTCGTTTCGTCCGATCCTCCAAATACCGTACGCTCTTCCCCTCGTGCCCCCTCAAAACATACCCGCATTCGGGAATCTGACAGGTAGTATCAACCAGGTCACGTCTTTGGGCGGTCGACAAAGAAGGTATGCCAATTGCTCTCTGCTATTGAAGTCGTCGTTCTAACAAGAACAGGAACAATGCTACGATAATCTTCGAGTCTCCGCGAATGCCTTCGATACCAACCTGGTCAAGGTGCGCTCCGCCCTCCGTTAAACCAACCCCCCTGATCTCGCGAACGTACGCGATCTGACGCCTGACACTAGGTCAACCCTCGCTATCTGTCCGTAAACTGGGAAGCCGGTGGTGGTGGTGCTTTTGCTGTCATTCCCCTTAATGAGCGTGGCAAATTGCCCGAGAGAATCCCCCTATTCCGCGGTCACACCGCTGTGGTGCTGGACACCGACTGGTGAGCTTTGCTGGATGCGATAAGGGAAGCAGGATGAGGAAATAACTTGGATTAGGAACCCTTTCAACGATGAGTTGCTTGCGTCCGGTTCTGATGACGGAAAGGTGCGTATCTTGATGGACATGCGCTCCGCGGAAGAAGCTGACCCGTTGTCCTAGATCTGTCTCTGGCGAGTGCCTGAAGATTTCACTGTCCGTCCTGACATCGAGCCGGACCTAATCCAAGATGTAACCCCCGTGGGTAAGCTGAGCGGTCATCCCAAGTAAGTTCCTCCCTACTTGACCAGTGGCTATCAAACTGACAGTCCGCTAATCTTTCCACTACAGGAAAGTCGGATACACGACCTTCAACCCCGCTGCAGAGAACATTTTGGCGACGGCCTCGGGCGACTTCACAGTGAAGATTTGGGATATTGAAGCCGGTGCTGCCAAGTTGACCTTGAAGCTGGGCGACATGGCACAGTCGCAGTCGTGGAGCGCTAACGGTTCCCTCCTCACTACCACCTCGCGTGACAAGAAGCTGCGGATATGGGATACCCGCCAGGAACGCCCTGCGTATGAGACACAAGGACACTCGGGTGCCAAGAACAGTCGTGTTGTTTGGCTGGGTGAGCGCGACCGGATCGCGACCACCGGTTTCTCTAAGATGAGTGACCGCCAGCTGGCACTGTGGGATATTCGTGCTCCTCGCGAGCCCATCACCGGATTCAAGACGCTGGACTCGATCTCCGGTGTGTGCATGCCGTTCTGGGATGAGGGTACGCAAATGTTGTACTTGGCCGGCAGAGGGTGAGTCCTGACTTCTCTACATCAAGCTACGGAATGCAGAGTTAACCAATCATTTAGTGACGGAAACATCCGGTACTTCGAACTGGAGAACGACAAATTTGAGTTCCTCGCTGAATACAAGTCTGGCGACCCTCAGCGTGGTATTGCTTTTATGCCCAAGCGTGGTGTCAACGCCCACGAGAACGAAATCGCCCGGGCCTACAAGACCGTCAACGACAACTATATCGAGCCCATCTCTTTCATCGTCCCCCGTCGGTCAGAGAACTTCCAGGATGACATCTACCCACCTACTGCTGGTCTCACCCCTGCCATGAGTGCCGCAGACTGGCTCTCGGGCAAAGAGGCCCTTCCTCCCAAGATCTCCATGGCCAGCCTGTACGAAGGCGAGGGCCTGAAGGAGGTTACCGGTGTGCAGGACAAGCCTACCACGACGGTTGGGTCGTCCGACTCCAAGCCTGAGCCGGAACCCCAGCCTAAGCCCACGCCACCATTGCCTGTTAAGGCTCCTGAACCGGCTCCCGAACCGGTTCCCGAGCCCACTCCTGCTGTGAAGCCGGCGCCATCTATGAAGGAACAGGGTGCATCCATGGCCGCTATGGTGAACAAGTTCACCGACTCGGAAGAGGATCGCGAACCAGTGAACGAGGACTCGAGCTTCGACGAAGTGCCCAAATCAGTTGAGCGCCCTTCTCGTTCTGCAACGGAGGCTGAATCGCCGTCTGTCAAGTCCAGCCCATGGCACCAGAAGGAGGAGCCTAAGTCGCAACAGTCTCCTGTCCAGGTAAGACTCTTGATTCTTTCGAGATAAGCAGAAATAGAAACTAATGTCATATAGACCCCCACCGTGGCATCGACACCCGTCTCCGGAGAATCAACCCTGACTGCTACCGCCACCGTCGCGGCCGATACCGTGACACGTGAAATCAGTGAGATCAAGTCTTTGATCGCGGTGCAGACCAAGACCATCGCATCCCAGGCAGACCAGGTCCAGACTCTGACTGCGGAGATTGAGTCCCTCAAGGCCAAGCTGGGCTAGCCTGGGTTCCGTACTTGTTGCTATGTAGCTCTGCCATTTTTATACGCCTTTCTCCTATTTCCTAATACTTTTACTTGTTGAGCCTGCACAAAAGAATCGTTGGTCCTGTCTCGTTTTGTTGTAGCCTGGATGTCTGTATATCGGTTGATATCAATTGGGCTAGATAGATGGTTGCAATTCAGTACTGTAGTATATGTGGTTTGTTTTTGACTACAAATAGATATCAATCTCTTTGAACTCGATAATAAGCTCATTTACTTGGTGAGAACGGAATCGATCTCGTCAAACAATCTACAGCATTGATAACAACAGCGGCCAACTAAACCACCTACTCCGTCCTCAACTGATCACATCCACAATCAGATATATACACATATGCCGCTACCTTTCCTTATTAATGATGATATCCTTGGCAGTATCCTCAGTCGGAAACCAATCCCCCAGAACCGAACAGGCGCTAGCTCCCATACCAACAGTCCGACCAGTGACCTCGGACTTGACAGTAGCTTTCGACGCCACGGAGATAGGCTTGGAGTTATCATCCGGCAACGCAACAACCATGATAGTCGTCTGTCTCTCATCAAACCTGACAGGCTCCTCCTCCGATTCAGTTCTGATAGGACTTGCCCTTTTGCCAAGGAAACCATACCAGGCACCAAACCACCTCACCAAATCTCTTCCTCCGTCTCCCATTCATATAACTAGTTCGTCGAGCCAAAATGCCCATCCGCAAAGGTTCAGGCGTCCCCGATTATCACGAAATAGGAAAACGCCGCCCCATCCCCCTCCAATTCAACTCCCTCCCCTTCCGAGACCACAGCGGCAACACCGCATACATGGCCTTTTACTCCTACAGAAACTACCCCCTCTCGCGACTCTTTGTTTTTGCCATCAACACACATCCAGATGCCTCTCCTGACCACGTCAACCAAAAAGGGCTATTAAATGCCCTAATGAACGGTTCCACTCGCTTCCGCCTGGAACTATTCTTCCTCCCCGGTGCCGACGAAGAGGACTGCATGAAACACTATCGCGGAGAGAAAGAGGTCCGCGGGGACTACCATGCTCAAATCACGATTGTGGAGGAAAGCAATCTAGATCAAGACTTCAGCCCAGACTGCAGGCAGTTACTAGGCTTAGTGCCCAGCTATACGGAATGTGGCGAGCTGAACCATTACCATTCAATGCTCTTCATCTGTGAGGGGAAGAACTGGACAGATGGAGAGCAGATCATGCGCATGGTTGAGTTCGATCCCGTCTCCGCGGAGGAGTGGGCACCGTTTCAGGATCCAGATGGGCCGACTAGGCCGGCAGAGAAATGGGTTACCGTTTGGCCCATCAACGAGAGCCCATCATATAGGGAGGGCAACAGCTCGGTGCAGGGAGAGATGCTGGAGAATTGATTATTCCGTGCGTTTCTACTATTTTCTATCAATCTATAGCTCTTTTATCTCAGTAAAGAGCCCAACGAGCCACCTAAATCAAAAGACTTTGGTTCACCTGCCAAACATGAGTGACATGCGCTCTTCTAGTCTTCTTGATGGACTTCATCATGGCCAGCGACGACTCCCTGGGTTACAAAGCTCTTTTCCTGGAGTCAGAAAGGAGGCTGAAAAAAGTAAAGAAAGAGACCAGGAAAGAGAATGAAATCGGCAAACTACCTTTGGGGAGCTCATTCAACATTGCCACAATCTTTTCTCACGATCCTTGCGAGCTGAAGCTCCGGCTCGCTCCACTACACGGACAATACCAGCACCTACTGGAAAATGCTGCCCGATACAACTCGTCGAATGGGCTGAATGTCAAACCAGGCAACAAGAAATCTACCGCTCTGTTTGCAACTATCTTAAACCAATAAGTGAGGCTACGATGCAGTTCTTTCCATCCGTCCTTGTATTCGAGGACTTTGGGCGACAAGTCCATGAAAGGCCAATAAGCAGTGAAAAGGACCTGGAGAACTACGAGCGATTTGGTATGGAAAACTACGTACGAGATATAATCAGAGAACTCTGCAAGGTCCCCGCTGCGCGAGACAAGTCTCATTTGGGCGATGGAGTGTGGTTTGACAACCATGCCAACTGTCTTGATCCCGCTGAGGCCATCCCCCCGCAGACAAACCAATCCTCTTCTCAACGGTCCAGGCCTGACCAGTTCTGTGTCCACCGTGTCAACGACGATACCAGCAGCCTTCTTACCACAGTTGAGTACAAACCACCTCACAAATTATCCGTTGAGAATCTCCGCAAAGGGCTGCGCCCCATGAATTTTTGGAAAAGGGTTGTCAGCCGTAACTCTATACCCACTAAGCCGCGGAAAAAGTTGAGGTACAACGCCGAGTTGCTCACGGGCTCAGTGATCACCCAGGAGTACCATGTGATGATCCAGGAAGGGCTTGAGTATTCCTATATAACCAATTGCCTTGCATTGGTCCTGCTTCATGTGCCGCATGATAATCCAACTAGCCTGTACTACCATCTCTGCGTGCCTAACTAAGATGTGAATCCAGAAAATGACCAAAGCATACTACAGCCAACGACCGCCATTGCCCGGGTGCTGTGTCTATGTTTGATGAGCTTTCATTCGCAAGTTCGTGACCAGGAGTGGCGAAACGAAGCACGGGCACAGCTTCCAATCTGAAAGACAAGCTTTGACCACACTCGTTCGCAAATTCCAGATGGTGAATTGGGACAAAACCCCCTTGACCCAGAGAGCTCTGATTCTGATTATACGAGCTCTGAACCCTCGGGACCCTCTGAACCCTTTGAACCCTCCGCATCTGAGTATCAGCCGTCATCGTCTTCGGTAGAATCCCCTACCGCTAAGGAGCGTCAAGTGCTCGCATAGCTTTACAGAATTGTGCAACGACGACAAATGCAAGCCCAAGCTCATTTTTATTATTTGGGCATGGCTTTGAGAATGTTTGGATACTCTGCTGCAGAAGACAGCTCCGTTTATCCTACTTGCGCATTCTCTCACTTTATGAAACTGCTTGATGTGGCATTATTTGCATAGGAGCGGGCAGCGCATGTGCTGGACGGAATATATGGGTTTCTGGCGGTTGATAATCGGCCACTAGAGGTGATCGAAAGGTCTCGGGGATAAGCGTCATCTATAAATAATTTCTATGTGAGTTTAGAACCAATCAATCAGACACATTTGCAATAATCAGACGTACACCGGCATTGAGGATCCAAAAAGTCTTGATATCCACTGATAAGGATGACACGTACATGTAAGACGTTCAACAATCAACATAAGTACGGCAGGTATCGCTGTAGCCTTGATCCATGATGTTCTGAGCAAGTGGTCACCATTATATACAAATTCGTGAGAGCCAAACTGGATGAGCCATACTATGTATAACTACACAATGAATGGCACTCTTGACTATTTGTAAGAAGACGCCCTAAATCAGCACCAATTACCCTTTTGGGAGGGAACAGATACGATTGTGGAGACAATCCCGATGATGTCATCGTATCCACAGCATCTCGAATAGGAAACTAGCTAACTCGATTGAGCGGCCGTATTCGTGATGACCACTTAGGGTTATAATCACAATCTTGACCCTCGTATATTTCCAGATCTAACGTGCAAAGCATAGCCTTCGTCCAGGCCCCTGGAATCGAGCCAATGGGATGAAACTGATTTGTCGTTTTCGTTTCTTTCCGGTCCCGTAGGGTGTATATATAGATGACTTCACACCAGCAAGAGACGGAACAAAACAGAAGGAAACACAGTCAACCACAATGAAATCTACTTTACTCTTGATTACCACGGCGTTTACGTTTACCCAGGCTCTGGCCTGGCAAGCACCTCATCCTCTTCCTTGGTCGCGTCCTGGTCCTGGCGCTGGTAAGTGAAACCCGGCTACAGTGCAGTGGTTAGATATACTATGGAGCTGACTGGCATTCTTCAACAGTGCGAGCACCCTGTCCTATGCTGAACACCCTTGCAAATCACGGTTTCCTTCCCCACGACGGCAAAAACATTTCGGAAGCGCGTACTGTCCAAGCCCTGGGCCGGGCTCTGAATATTGAAAAGGAACTTTCCCAGTTCCTGTTTGAGAAAGCATTGACGACAAATCCTCATACCAATGCTACAACTTTCTCTCTCAATGACCTCAGTCGGCACAATCTCTTGGAGCACGATGCCAGCTTGAGTCGTCAGGATGCTTATTTCGGAGATAACCACGACTTCAACCAGACCATCTTCGACGAAACTCGATCGTATTGGCCTCACCCCGTTATCGATATTCAGGCCGCTGCGCTATCCCGTCAGGCTCGGGTGAACACATCTATTGCCAAAAATCCTACTTATAATATGTCTGAGCTTGGCTTGGACTTCAGTTATGGCGAAACCGCAGCCTACATCCTTATCCTTGGAGACAAGGATTTCGGAAAGGTCAACAGATCCTGGGTCGAGTATCTCTTTGGTACGTTAAATTGAGGTATATAACCTGACTCCTGTACCTCGCTAACAATTACGTTTAAAAATAGAGAACGAACGCCTCCCTGTGGAACTTGGCTGGACTAGACATAACGAGACAATTACAAGCGATGACCTTAACACGATGCTCGAGAAGGTCGTCAACACTACCTCGACTAGCTACAACAAGCGCAGCGAGATTGTCCGACGTGGAGGTATGCATACTGGTCGCAGAGCTTGAGGCGTCAGGGAAAACTGGCGTGGCTTGCTAGACCCACGTAGAGATTGCGCTTCAGTACCTAAGTGTTGAACCAGAGGTTCATTCAATTGTACCTAGCCATAGTTTAAGTTTTTGGTTCGTTCTTGTAATAGTGCATCTAAAATATTCTCGTCCCCATATTCCTCTTCCTCACTTTCCTCATCGCTATCTTCGTGACCAAGGCTCCCTAGCCAGTCATCCTTGTAGATGGGTTCCGGAGGAGGAAGCCCCTCGCCATTGATAACGAACCAGCGGAAGATATCCAACGATGCCTCCCACGATGACTCTTGTGATTTTTCTTGGTCGAATGGCCTATGAGGAATCTCTCGCAGTTTCTGAACGGCAAAAGGACCTACGTCCAACATCACGGGAGCCGTTACCATTGAAAGGCCTTCGTCCTGAATAATCTGATTATCTTCCAGTTCCCAGTTCCAGCGGTTATAACGTAATTGATACCGTGCACAGTTTAAATGCGAAGCAACGCGGAGTGCACAATTCTTGGTGTCCAATTTTCCACAGGGCTCCCACGGAGTACAAGGTCGGTAATTGTATGATAGTTCGTCTTCCACGGTAGTAGGGAGATGGAGAAGCCGCCAGACATCGGTTCTCGTAATCTGTTGATTGGCGTCAACATATGGCCCTTCTCCAACAAGATCTATAAAGCTCTGCGGACAACCGGTCCATGGAACTGCAACTAGGCCAAGAGGAGGTCTGCCTCGTTGGACCCTGCGAAGGATTATTGGAGTCAATTCGCTAACTACAGCTCCCAGCGAGAGCGCACATATCGAAGGCCGACAAATACCACAAATAACAGCAAGTATTTCTGCATAGAGACCTGGCATACCTGAGATGTTTTACTCGTTCGGGACTTCGTTCAGAATCGGATGCAGCCATGGACGGACAAGATTGCATGGCACATCGGGTTCTCAGAACATTCCGCAAAGGCCCGATATTATAGTCTCTGGGTTGCAACTTAGAGACATATAATACAAAAGATTGATATGCAATATAGCTCACTCATGGGGTATGACTTTAAGTGAAACAGCAGGGCATCGACCCCCTGAACACGTTGGCTGTGGCAATTGAACTGCCGAACTGTGAAAATTATGTGTTGGTATAGTGATTGCGACTGTGAGAGCAACAAGAAATTGACTTTCAGGTTGTGTAGGAAAGCAAACTGCGCGAGATTTTCGAAAGCTCTGCAGGACGAGATCGGAATAGAGGAAGGCTCCTCAGCGGGCGCGTGATTCCGCGACACAATCGAGAAAGATTGCTTGCCCACATTTCTCACTGACCAAGGAGCAAGAAAATCGTGATTATCAAACTACTTGACGACAGCCCTCCAGCCCTCGCCAGGTACTAGGACCGACAACCATCATGAAATCGCGTCGTCGTCAACTTCACCAATATCAACAGCAGCAGTAGTAGCTGGGACCTCATGGCTGGGATTGCGGAAAGCTAAAGCTCTCGATACTGTATACTCCATAGTCGCGCCGTGTCCTTGAATCTCAACCAGGCGAGAAGAGAGAATGTAGCACCATCCCAGAGTAAGAATCGCTAGATAATTCGGACTAACTGCCACCGAACGTCAACGGGACTGCGGATTTCGTACCAAGGTGCAAGAGAGTGATGCTTGTCTTTTACTCTTGGACGTTCTCACATCCTGTGAGGTCATCCAGTCTCCATTCTCTTTCAGTCTCAAGGTGCTCTTCTCCGCCATTGAATGATCAGTGGAAGTTCATGTAGGCGACTTGGACGTCAAGTTTTGTCTTCATCCAGAAAGTTCAAAGAACGATTCATAGCCGAAGAATGATTGAATTGAAGAGAAACACATCTGAATCATCCGATTAAGCGCTACGTTGAGTATCAACAACCCTAGGATACCACTAGTCTGTATACTTACAAGGCCAATGAGTAGGTTAATAGAGCACAAATCTAGCCATAATTCCGCGATATATTAAACTCTGAAACTTCCTCGAATGTACAGCCATTCCATAGACTGAATCCTGAGAAGCCAACGCTGAAGGATTCAGTTCAACAGTTCCAAACTTGATATCGCAATTCGAAGCATTAAATAATAATGTGTACCAGACGTATGTACTAAGTGGTCGTCTAGGGATAGGGACTATGAGATGATGGCAGACAACAGTCTTCAGAATAAAACTCCCAAACTAGTTAGATTAACAGACCCGTACCAGGATGATCTCTAGACGACTTTGTAGATCTTGAAGAATGAGGCCAGCCCTAAGAACCTAAAAAATGTCCTTGAATGATACTCGTATACAAAACCAACCTCTATATGCTTTATATTTTCTTATATCTCATAGATACATCAAAGCCCTTAAAAAACGCTATGTATTTACTCACTCCCACCTCTCCCCCTCCCTCTCCTTCTCAACCCTCGCCGCCCTCGCACTATCACTCTCCTCATCCTCATACTTATAACTCAAACTCCTCCCCCCAACCACCGCAGACCGATCCTGTCGACTCTCCCGTCGACGACTAGACCTGTAATGACTATCACGATCACGATCGCGCTCTTTATCGCGATCTCGGTCTTTGTCTCGGTGGCTGTGGCGGTGGCTAGTGCTATTACCATTAGTATTATTTTCGGAGTGCAGGGCTGCTTCGCGGCGCTGCTGTTCTTTCAGGAGGCGTTCGCGATTGCGAGCTTCGCGTTCAAGGGTTATGGGGTCTTTTTCGGGTTGTGTTGTTGAGGTAGGGGGTTTTGAGGGGGCGCGGTCGTCTTCGCGGGTGCGTTTTAGGCGTCGAGAGTGGTGGCGGGTGGAGTAGTCACTGTCGGGGGAGGCGGTTCTGTCGCGGCGGGGGCGTTTTCTGTCTCGTTCGCGCTCGCGGTCACGGTCTTTTTCGCGGTCACGATCCCGGTGACGTTCGCGATCACGGTCACGGTCTCTTTCGCGGTGACGATCGCGGTCTCGGTCACGTTCACGTTCACGTTCACGATCACGCCGGTCTCTGCGTCGAGCATCACGGTCTCGTTCCCGCTCTTCCTCTCGACGGCCGGAACGATCCTTTCCAGAGCGATGGCTGCGACTGGAACCCTCAACAGCTTCAGCTGTGGCCTTCTCCGCAATCGACGAAAGACGATCAGCATCACGATCGCCATCACGACTAGGACTCCTAGTACGGCTGCGATGACGATGCGGGCGATGAGAACGACGTCCACTTCGCCGGTCCCGGTCTCTATCGCGGCGGTGGGATCTCCGCGACGACTCTAGGGATGGAGAGCGGGTGCGATGGCCGTCCTCCGCTAATGACGGTTCATCGTATTTATCCTCTCGGCGGGATCGTTGTTTTCGTTCACGTCTCCGTTCATACTCGTCGGCGCCATCATGGGCGCTTGGCGAGCGGTATCTGTGACGACGGCTATCTCTGGGGCGAGACGGGTCCCCAGATCTGCTTCTTGATCGGGACGCTGATCTAGCCCTAGATCTTGACTTTGAGTGGCGGTCGTCGTCTTCTTGTGGCTCTATCGGAGTCCCGCTGTTCACATGTTAGCATTGATAAAAGGAAGTGATGGAAAATAACCAACCTTTGCGGACCTTCAGAGGGTCTGCTAGCAGGAACCGATGCCCGTCCTTGGAATCGGTGACGCAACACACTAGTATTAGGTAGTCCTTCTCTCATAGCTCTAGGTGCAGCCGGGGCACCTTCAACACCCTGTCCTGGCATAGGCCCAGGAACAAAAGGACCACCAGGAAAGCCACCTCCACGACCCCCAGGGAAAGGTCGCATGAAACTCCTGCCAAATCCAGGTCCCATATGGGGACCAGGCATTCCAACGAAGCCGGACATGGCAGCGTCGTTCTGGTCCAGGCTATCGATGGTGGGTATACCTCGTGGTTGTGTGTCGTCTTCTGCTAATGTACCAGACGCATCAGGGACGTCATCTCTTGTCAGTTTCTCTCCAGCCGTTTCATCAGCAATCTCCTTTGATGTTGGGTCTTCGGGATCCTGCTCGCCGCTAGGGCCTTGTTCACCCTCTGGTTTATCTGCATCGGTACTGGCGTCCGCTGGAGTTTCACCATCCTGAGGCACCGCCTGATTAAAGCTAGGGGAGTTAGGGTTCTGAAACGCGGCGTTGGGATAATTAGCATTCATGAAGCCCTCGCGGCCGCGGCCACCAGGAAAGTATCCACGACCACGGCCGCGGAAGCCGCCTCTGCCGTAGCCGGGGCCATAGTACCCATTCGAGAAGTCTTGGTTAGGGAAGTAATTTCCGTTGGGTTGAGACATATTAAATCCGCCAAATCCAGAGGGCCCATACTGCGAGCCCATACCATTTGCGAAAGCATTTGGATTGAATTTATCTTGGCCTCCATTCCACATATTGTTCTGAGAGCCGTCCCATCCCCCAGCATACATCCCCTGACCCGCGTCGAAGTTCATTCCCATATTCATGCCATTGTTCATGCCCATCCCGTAGCCTCCAAACATACCCTGGTTCGCGGCCATCGGGTCCATCGACATCCCAGACATTCCTGTAAGAAAGTCAGTATCTGATTCTTGAACTGCGATTCGGGGTGTAGGTGGTGACATACCCATAGGATTTTGGTTGAACATGCCATTGGACATGAACTGCATGGGGTTGAAATCGCCACTGCCATTGAATGGCATGTTGGGAAATCCTCCGGCGGGCATATTAAATCCCATGCCGGGAAACATTTGTTGCATTCCATTAGGTTGCGCATTGTTCTCTTCCACAGATTGCGCCGCCGTGTCAGCAACTTCATCGCCATCCGCGGGACCGGTTTCGTCGGCCACATCGGCCTTTTCTAGCGTGCCGGTGGCCTCAACTTCTTGCTCATTCTGTGCGGCCATTAGCGATTTGGGAAGAGTAAAAGGGTGTATCTCAATTACCTGGGCTTGAGTCTCCTCAGCAATTTCGGCATTTGCATCAGTCACATGCTCTTCACCAGCCTCCACAGGCTGAGAATCCGCAGCGGGGTGTTCTTCCGGCGGGACCTCCGCAGCAGGCGCTACCTCCGGCTGTTCCTCAGCGGGAGCCTGTTCCTCAGGGACAACCGCGGCAGGTGTATCAGGCGCAGATGTAGCAGCAGGTTGCTCTGAAGGGGCCGGAGTTCCATCCACCGGAGCCGTCTCGGCCGGCGCAGCAGGAGTGGCGGACTGACGATCCTTTTCACGTTTCTTTTCTTCGGTACGTAGGAAGGCTTTGAGGGTGGTCCGGAGAGCTTTATTCGGTTTGCAGAGATCGGATGAAAGAGGAGTATGTGCGCAAACGGGGCAGGTATCGGGCAAGGATGCTTGGCCTAGACATAATCGTAGTCAGCATTTGTCGACACGCGAGCAAGTCTTGAGGCACGGGAGCTTACAAGTTTCACAAATCGCTTGCTCACAGCAAGGTAGCCGGAACGCATTCACCGCTAACTTGTTGCAAATTGCGCAACGTAGCTTGAATGGAATCTCATCCTGAGTAAGAGTGCTTTTTGACCGTCAGCTTATTTTCCTGCAGAATTGGTGAAAACGAACCCGGAAAGGGATTCTCACGTACCTCGCGATATCCATCAAGCCCGAAGGCTGCTCTGCCGTCGCCATTGGGAGAATCAAGGCCGGTTCGAGCCGTCTCCCAACGGCCGCTTAAAAAAAAAAAAAAAAAAAAAAAAAAAAAAAGGTAAAAGCTCACGAGGAAGAACCGACAATTACGGGGAGGACAGCAGACATGACTGAAATGCCATGAATCGAGCAAAGGCGCGCCCAACCCCGAGAGCGCGAGTAGCAAAGCGAGAGTGGAAGGACGAGGCAAGCGTTTATCGTTGTTGATTCCGTTTGCTGTCAAAAAGACGTCCGATTCTGCCAAATTCGGCGATGGGGTCGGAGCGGAGGAACGTGGGGCCGGTGGGTTACTATGTAGCTTCGCGATAGCAAACTGAAGATGAATACTCTTATGCTTCTATATCAATAGAAATGCAAAAGCGAATGGCAATATTGCTGTAAAGCTGCCATGGCAATCTACGGGGACAGAGTACTGGTACTTACTACACCGCACCAGCAAGAACTGCCTGAAGTCGCAGTACTGACCGCCTAGCCTACATACGATGAGGCTGGCGCCTTCATTACTAGGACACCAGCTATTAAGCAGGCTATGGTGCCTGGAGTCAGCCTCCGTCAAGCCAGCCCGCGGCACAGCAGGAGTACAAAGTACCACAAGACAAATATGCAGAGTCATATGGTCAACGGCTGAACAGCATCCGGGCGCTATGGGACAGTATGGGGCAGTATAGGACACCCCTGTGCGGCATTAGAGGCAAAACACGACGCATGTCAGATTAGATCAAGTTATGGACCCTCATCGACAGTCGCGTCGTAGACATAATCAGAAGACCGGACGGCGATACCAAAGGGTTTCTGCTCGACGCGATCTCTGGTGACTGTCTCGGGGCTCTTGGTATCATCATCCGCGTGTGATATTGATGGGATTCAATTATGTTCAAAGTGAAGGGGATCAGGGGAAGGAAGGAACAATGGTGAATAGAGATAAACAATGGACTCGTCAGAATAGTGGAGTTGACATGGTATGCAAATAGCCACACATATTTCGGGGTAGGCATGAATATATAGACCAAGTACGGAGTAGATGGAGTACTACAGTAGTAGTGGCAGTAGAAGAGCCTCACCAACAAGTTAGGGATGAGTGAAGAATAAGTAGAATAGTGAAGAACATAGTGAAGAATCCTTATATACCAGTGAAAAGGTCAATAGAGCATTCCCCGGACCAGGATCAGAAGAGCAAATAGTCATGACTGAATCATCCACACAAACGAGAAAAAAAAAAAAAAAATTATATATTTTTAGCGTTTGGCGCAGGGTTAAAAAGGGCCGCTGCTGCCCGCTCTGCCGCCCGGACTTTTTGCTTCCTTTGGTCTTGTTTCCACGCACTTCTTTGATCTTATTGCCACGTCCATTCGCGATCCATAACATCGCCGTCAGCGTCATCGCGACTGCTTGCGATACTATACCTATACAGCATATTACCAGAGTAGTCTCTGTTCACTGTGAGATGCTCTAATAATTCTCCTTGTCTCTGGGCTCTTTTCTTTCTTCCCACATAATCTACAAGGTACATCGCGTTGTCAACCTGTCAAACTGTCCCGTCGCTTCCCTATTGTTAACGCCGATTCCCCAGCAATGACAGACCAGGATAATTCCTACAGACCTCGATCCCCCGACTTCTCCTCCTCCTCCTTCCAATCCAACTTCCCTCCCCCTGCCGCCACCAATCCAACCTATCAATTCAATCCGCTGGGCCACCACAGCTCCTCCTACGACGCCTCCACGTTCTTCACCCCGCAATACCACCAGCGGCCGGCCGCTACACAACAATACGTGCCTCCGTACTCCCCCAGTTACCCTGCACAGGATTTCGATATGGCCCGGAGATCATCTCGCATCGCACGCGCAACCGAAGTCGACCCCGCGCCCGAATCAAAATACCTTGAGGAACACAGTGAGCCCGAGCCGTCAGAGGAGATGGCGGACTATGAGCCTGAACCTGAACCTGAACCTAAGCCTGAGCCCGTGGAGCTAGAGCAGCCGATCAAGGAGGAGGTTACGGAGGAGGTCAAGTCGCGTCCTGGGGAGGGGATAGAGGTCAAGACCAAGTTTCCGGTGGCGCGCATCAAGCGCATTATGCAGGCGGATGAGGATGTCGGGAAGGTTGCGCAGGTTACCCCGATTGCAGTTTGTACGTCTGCCCCATTCAATCCCGTTGCTTTGTTTATTGAATAACTGCTAACTGCCAACAGCCAAAGCATTGGAACTCTTCATGATCTCCCTCGTCACCAAAGCCGCCAAAGAAGCCAAAGACCGTAATTCCAAACGCGTCACCGCGTCGCATTTGAAACACGCCGTTACCAAGGACGAAGTTCTAGACTTTCTGGCAGATATCATCGCCAAGGTCCCAGACCAACCTAATCGGAAACAGGATGATGATGGAAGTGATCAGAACGAGGGGAAACGAAAGCGCGGAGGCCGACGACCGAAAGAAGATAATAGTGACTAGACCCCGGTGGTTTTGTTTGTTTGGATTCTTTGCGCGGTGTTGGTTTCCGTGACATCTTTCCTTTGTATTTTATTCTATCTGTGGACGACTTGACGGGCTTCTTTAGACTGGATAGGAAAGCGGGCGCATCTTCATGTTATTATGTTCTTTGGCGTTGTGGTGGACATGGTTGGGTTGCATCTTTCCATGTGAATATCCGTATACGTTTTTTTGGGAGGAATGGTTGGGTCTCAGAGATGTCTGGTAATTGAATAATCTTCCATTCTAATTTTTTACACTTAGTTGTAGCCGTAGCTGTATATGGTGCTAGTGACAGCCTTATATACTCCGTTGTTGATAATCGGTCTTGGCGCGTTTCCCCCGACTATCTTCCCCTCCGCTTGACCACCTCGACTGGCTCATGGACAAGCAATAATATGCCGTCCTAATCATGGATTTTGTGCGTTTATACTCCTATCTCTTAGTCTATTCATGTGTCTGGCTAATGCAGAATAACAGTGGTCTCGTCTCATCGGCGGCTCCCGTTCGCTGACCTCCAAGAGCTTCCGCGCAACATCACCAACTGAGCGATTGACGGCTTTCAAACGAACCTGCAATAGTCTCCAGGTGAGATTCTCATCTTCAACTCACTGACTTTAACACTACCAACCAATTCTAACTGTACGTGGCAGCAAATCTGGCGCTCCAGCAACACCCCTATCGACCAACAATCCACAACCACCCACTCCCGCAACTGCATCGAACGCCTAAACTCCGTCCTCAGCGATGAATCCCGCGGCCCAGCACCCCACCCCTGTCTCCAATACGCCTCCTCCTCCCAGATCTTCGTAACCGTCACCAAGCTCGCGCTTTCCAGTTACGACGACAACACGTTGCGCTGCGCGGCTGTCTTCTTCAACACCCTGATCGATGCAGAGGTCGATGGCGTCGTTGATAACCGGTTGTTTGCGAGGGCGTTAGTTGATCTGGTGAGGAGGGCGGATAAGCATTCGGAGGATGTAGAGGGGAGGCTAGTCGAGTTGTTATTTGGGGTTGCGAATAATATTCGACTGCAGCCGGATATTCTGCCGGCTTGGTTTGCGCCGAGGAATGAGAGGTTGGAAGGGCAGGAGAGTGGTGGGCAACGGCAGAGTGTGAGTGGGAAGGAGTTTGAGGGGGCGACGAGGAAGGATGACTTTCCGCTGTTTTATCTGCTGGTTGAGTATGTGCATCATGAGGGACGGGCGGGTGATTTTGCTCGTACGGGATTGCTCTATTTGATTGAGACGGCTTCGCGGTCGAAGCATCTGGAGCGGTGGTTAATTGAGAGTGATCTGGCGACTTTGATGGCTACCGGTTTGGGTGCACTCTACAGTCAGCTGGGAAGGTGAGATTTACATTGAGCTATGTGGCGGTCCTGGGCTAACCCCTTGCAGTCTGTCATTCATCCCGCCTGAAGAGAACCCGCCGCATATCATTGCTTTGTCGGATCATGCTGGACAGGATACTGCTATCGCACCCTACCTGGGCTCTCCTATGAGATCGTTCATGTCGTATCTCTTGTTCTGGCAGGATACGATTGACCATTGCAAGTCAGCAGAAGTCAACGGGAACCTTTTAGACCACTTCCAAATCCTATTCTTGGAACAGCTATTGTAAGCTCTTATGCCCAATTCAGACTGACTATGCTAACGTTATAGATACCCATCTCTATTGGAATCATCAGATGTTGAAGGAGGATCCACCGCCGCAGTACTAACCTACCTTTACCGTATCCTGGAATCAGTGGTACAAGATGATCTGGTCCACCGCATTCTTCACTTTCTGCTCGCCTCGGACTCGGGCAAGGGAAAAGTAGACATGTCAGTCAGCAGACGGAAGTCACTGGACGTATTGGCGGCATTTGCAGAGGAATCGGCTAAACCGTCACCATCTCTGTTTAACCTGCGGGATCTTGCACTGCTTGGTCTGCAGTCGTCGAGCCGTCAGACTATCCTGGCAACGCTACGTCTGCTGACAGTCGTTCTCCAGCGCCATCATCCTTTCACACGGTCCTTGATCCGAACGGTACCTGGGCAACCGGCCAAGCAGCGCACCATCGGAGCACTGAATGCAGAGCTGGGGAATATGGTCTCGATGGCTACCTCCATTGTGAATGATCCAACCCTGGACGAATCATATGACAACTACCTCAAAGACGCCTCGTGGATACTGGAGGCGCATTTATGCATCGCCCCCGCCGAAGCAAGCCCCGATGACCCTACAGCTGATCGACCACTCGAACTCCAACAAGGTGATGGTTTAATCCGCGAACTACTGAATTGCCTGCGCGATTTCTTCACCAACAGCGTCGTGGTTAACCTGGCCCTAACCGAAGTCCTAATGAGCATCGCATCCTCACACCTCCTTTCCCTCGATGGCTGGATCCTTGTCGATCCCGCCAAATACAACTACCCCGACCCATCAACCCCCACAACCGACGAGAACAAGAACAACCTGGACAAAATCCGCCTTGCATACGAAGAACCTACCTGGTCCTCCGAAGACGCCCCAACCCTAACCTCCATCCTCCAACACCTCGTCCAACAAACCCAAGAATGGCGCAAAATCCTCCCCGACTTCGACATCCTCGTCGCAGCCCGTCGAGACCTCCTCCACCAAGAAGATGAGCCCGTCAACCCCAACACAAACCCGCGCAGCAGCACCAGCCGCCTTTCTACCGCTACTATCTGGGACTCTGATATGAATTTCGCCCGCGGTCGTGCTCGATCATCGCTTACCCGTGGGCTAGGCAGTGCGTCTGCATCGCCGCGCACTTCGACAAGTGCATTTGGGTCTCCGCATAGAGGGCGAGATCGGTCCTCTTCGCTTGCTCGACCGCTCGCGTCCCGTGAATCGTCACTAGCTCGGACAGAGGATTTGCGGAAACGGCTATCTGCGCCGTTCTTCCCGTCTGCGCCGGCGAACCCTGTGCCCAAACGTGATAACCTCCCAACAACGACGGAGGAGGAGCCACAGGAGCAGGAGCAAGAACAGGGTGAATCCGAAGAACAGAAGCACGAAGACAAAGAACAATCGGGGGAACAAGGAGAACCCAACGATGACGAATCGGCTATTGTGGATGAACCGCCCCCGTCTGCATCGCTGGGCCATGTTCTAACGAATGTGATTATTCTCTACGAGTTCCTGCTGGAACTCTCGGCTACGGTGCAGGTTCGGGGGAGTTTGTATGAGGAGGCGGGATTTCCGGGCATTGGAGTAGATGGTTCTTTTTGATAGTTTTGTTATGTAGTTTGGGATTGGATGGTGCATTTATAGATGGTGAATATATCCGTGTAACTATAATCTTCCCCCCTTTTTTGATATACATTCGAGAATATTTGTAATTGAACCCTGTAATCGTCAATTCCCTGGCGCGATCAGCGATATCGATCTTAAGCCGTCCGTTGAATACAAGCGACCCTTCGTCAACCTTCGTCGACAGCGAGTAAAAAAATGCCTCTTTTCACCTGGACTTGGCCGCGTAAAGCATTGTTGCATCGCGAACGTCAATCGTTCGAGCTCCGCGTTTGTTGACGGAAAGCAGATCGTTGAGCGGTCGTAGGCTTATCCTCGCCAATTGTGTGAATTCTCGAAATTCATATATAATACACATATAGAAACGCGATGCACCAAGGCTAGATAGTTAAAAGCGTCCGTGTTCATTCTTCGGGATCAGCAAACCCCTCAATATAGGACGTAGTATTCGCGTATCTTGACCGCAGGTACCATCCATGCTCAGTCCGGCGCAGCTAGTACACACACCCAATTTCTTGGGTCATTCATGGCGTCAGAGGTCGGGGTATGTAGAAGAAAGATTAGATTCCATCTGTCGTTTTCTCCCTGGTTCAGGCGATTGTTTCTGATTCCGATATCAAGCGCTCGCTCTTCCACGAGGCTCATACTCGTCGTGGGTCGGCTTGATTTGAGGAAAGGACGGACGCATCATGGTCAAAGCCGTGAGGTGTATGGAGAGCATCACGGCTTTACGAGACCAGAGTATCTTCTTCCCATAGTAGATGTTCCAAGCACGGCCCATGCTTTTGGCCAATTCCGAGCACCGCCGTTAAAATGGGCCCATTGTACTCTGTATCGACATCACATATCCGTGCATTGTATGCTATTCGAGAATCGGTGCATATACTACCTCATACATACCGCCATGTCGCAGCGAGTGCACACATGTCTAGTGCGTTGCGGTTTTGTTCCGGTGGTCAGCCCAACGCTTAATACCAAGGCTTCTTGAGACATTGTATGTCTGAAATCGAGAAGACCAGAAACACGTCCCTTCTTGATTTCGACGCCAATGAACAGAACCATCAACGGTGTCCTCGGTCGGTTATCGCAGGGAACAAGCCCAATTTTGGGTAACGTATGTCTTTTCGGTGGATTACTTGCAAATCTGCAGTTACGTTGTCTCCGTGGGCGGTCTCATTGCGATCCTCTCCTTCAGATGGGATCAGATGTATGGACAAGATTACATCCCTTCCATCACTTACTTCGATAGTTATGGGCAGGAAAAAGATCCATGAATCGATTCTCTGTCCCTGATAAGCAACTTTCGCCACTTTCGGTATTTATGACGACGCATCCTGATTGTGTGGTATAAATTGAAGCCACATAATCCGGGCCTCAAACAGCAGAGAAATGTCTCTGTGGAGTGATTGGTGATACACTAATTTTCCACCTTTGAGCCCCATCATAATTGTCACTGGAGAATCAACCATCAGTCCATCCTCCCACCACGCCAGTACTGTAATTTGGAACATGTACGCACTCCTTGTATAATCGCAGTTTTTGTGCGATAAAGACAGTCCATCCCGTGCAGACAACACTTTCTCCCACCTACAGTGGCTGTTAGGGCTGGTCCATTTCCCTTTTTGAGCTGAACTGCATCACCGTCTCCCAGTTTGAGCACTTCTTCCGCTGAAGAGGGTACGACAATGCCTCATCCATGTATAAACTTGTGAGTCCTATGTCAGCAAACATCCACTCCTCTGGGCATACCATTTCATGCCACACCTAGATGGCAAATGCCGAGCAAGAACCGCCATGTGTACGCGTGTGAGCGAATGGCTGTTGGGATATAGCTAAGCTCAAACAATCTTGAGCTGGGCGTAGTCATGCCCACTATAAACTGGGCTTCTTTGATTGCATATGTGTTTTTTATTTCCAAGATGGCGAATATTTGGGGCGTTTCCACATATCCTGTAATGAATGACAAAACGGGTGTCTTTGTATCGGAATTTCGCTTTTGCAAGATATTCTTTCGACACCGGGGTAAGAATAAAGAATGGAGGCTTGCTTTAGGGCCGTAATATATATCGCGTAAATAGAGTTGCTTTTAAGTCTTTGGATGAGACCGAATTTCGTGAAAAAGAAAAACAAGGCAATGGTATAACAGAAATTTAATGACCATGTGATCCGTTCTGTTGTCCGGCTTTCGATGGAGGGATTGGGAGGCTATGTCAGTCACTGGTGCCGTATGGGACACGAGAAAGTGAATAGATCAACAGGAAGGAGATAAAATGGCAAGACAATTGATAGGATTAAGTACTTATACCAACGAAACTGATAATTAGACACAGTCAGGCACCGTTGTAGCTAGTGGACTACAGCAATAACCACAACATCCTCGCCATCCCATCTCATCCTTCATCTCAATATACCACTGGTTCTTGAACGGAAAGTTCTTGATCTCCGGAGGCTGTGCAGCTTCAACCCACAACTCCCAGTTCGAGATCACCTCTTCGCATATCTGCGCGTAATATTGGATGTTAATCCCTGGGAGACGAAGCTTTTTCAGATCAATGTAGAGATTCAGAAACACGAATAATCTCAGGGGACTGAAGAATTTTGTCCGCACACAGAAAGGTGACTCCATATCGTGCGTCGAAAGCCCGCATCTCGCGGCAAAATTTGATTAGGTTTACTGCGGCTAGTTTCCTGATTGTGCTGATATCTGCTTCAACGTATGCGCGTGCCTCGTGCGCCGGCAACTTGTTGGCTGCGTGTACAGGCACAGATGCACTTCTGGTGGAATTCTCTGTGCCCTATATGGTTGGAATAGATGCCTGAGTAGCTATCTTTCTTTGGAATTGAAGAGCCGCGATGCCTTGGGTGTTTTTCCGGATTTGACGGTCTTGAGCTTCTAGGGTTTGCTTCGTAGCCCGGATTTCCGTGGCCAGTGACTCTAGTGAGCCTTTCATGTCGCTTTGGATATGTTCTTCTTTGTAGATCATGTTGTTACTGACTTGTGTGCTTCTAATACCACCGATATTGGCTTAGAATACGTTGCAGCCTTGCCATTCTGCCATGATGAGTTTTATACTTGATCTCCTGGTTCCCAAAATAGTCCCACTTTATTGGTGCTATTGCTTGAAGAGAAGGAATAACAGTAGTCAGGACGCAACTGGTTTTGATCAACAAGATTCCCTGTACTGCCTAGTTATGAGACAACGCTATCATCCACACATTGTGATACCACATGTCCTCTACCATCCAAACCACGACCAGAGCGACTTCCGAACTGAATCACCGTCGGTCTGATAATCAGCCCAAGTATCACGTAGCAATTGAATTACGTTGTCCAAATCAACAAGACTCTGGGAACCTGCTTCCATCAAGGTCCTTTGTCCCAAGGCATCATCTAATGGCGTACGCCCTCCGTAATCTTGGATGTGACACTCTGCGCCATTTTCGAGCAGCAACCGAGCGGTGGTCACATTTCCTGCTGTAACAGCAGAGTGCAAAGCAGTTCGGCCGCCCTTATCAGTAATGTTAATCAACTCAGGACACTGCTCGACTGCCATTGAAAACAGAGCCCCCTCATGCTTATTCCGCGCCATACAGTGTAGTGACGTCTGTCCTAAGGAATCTCTTCTGTTCGAAGTGGATGCTAGGATCAATTTGGTAGTATTCTGATGACCCCCTTGAAATGCAAGTTTGAGAGCAGTATTGTCCAGACGATTTTCCATAGAGCTATCGATATGCATATCCAAGAGTAGTTGTGTGACTTCTTGATTTCCTCGTCCAGCCGCAAGATGTAGGAATTCGCTTTGGCCGCTGTCTGTCGCTGTGGCGTCGGTCCCTTTATCCAAAAGGACCTTAAAAATATCCCCAGACCCATTCTCTGCCGCATGATGAAGAGCTGTTTTGCTCTGTCCATCTCTCTGAGAAATATCAGCACCATGCTCAAGGAGCATCTGGATCATTGACATGTCTCTTCCTCTTGCTGCATGGTGAAGAGCTGTCTCACCATGATTATCTTTCCAAGAGATATCAGCACCGTTCTGGAGGAGTGTCTGAGTTATGGATACATATCTTCCCCTTGCTGCATGATGGAGAGCTGTTCGGTCGTGTTTATCTCCATCAGAGATATTAGCGCCATGTTCGAGCAGTGCCTGAACTATAGACAAGTCCCTTCCACTTGCTGCATAGTGAAGCGCTGTTTCACCATGCTTATCTTTCTGAGAGGTATCTGCACCACCTTCAAGCAGTGTTTGAACTATGAATATATCCCTTCCTCTTGCTGCGTAATGGAGAGCTGTTTCACCGTGGTTATCTTTTTGGGAGATATCAGCACCATGTTCGAGCAGGGTTTGAATTATGGATGTATCTCTCTCCCTGACTGCATAGTGGAGAGCTGTCCTACCATAAATGTCTGTTTGACAGACATCAGCTCTATTTTCAAGTAGCATGAGTATTATCAACATGTCTTTCCCCTTTACTGCGTAGTGCAGAGCTGTTTCACCATAGCCACCCCCAAGGAAAATATCGACTCCGTTTTCAAGCAGTGCCTGAATTATTGATGTATACCTCCCTCGTACGGCGTAGTGAAGGTCCAGTCCACTATAGCCGTCTTTCTCATGAACATCCGCTACCCCCTTTAGGGGCATCTTGGCTGCCACGCCGTTCTCGGGCCTAATAGCCAAGCGTAGGAAGATACGCATACTGAAAATGTCGACATTCACGAAGTGATGGAACAGCATGTCACGAATGTTTGCTTCTTGAAGCTGTGAGGCCCAGAAGATTGCTGTGGTCGTGTCGTGCCGGCCTATCAAATTCCAAAAAGCGTCTTCGTCGCCGGCATTAAAAGCATCCAGAATAGCCGGAGCTTCCATGGCCAAAAGCAAATTCTTGAATTCGGATAACGGGTGCTGCCTTGCCCAAACAGGAGCGAGGTACAAATCCCCACGGAGCCTCGATCTTAACTTCCCATTTTTTCCGTAACAGAGGCATAAATCGTAGAGTGAAGCCAATGTGCTCTGATGGGTGTCGCCCGCTGAAGCCACGTTGTATCTCCAGATAGTCTCCCTATAAGCCTCTTCCTTGTCTGATCGATGGTGTTGCTTGTAATACGTGGCAAGAGCTTGCGAATGTTGTAGGGTCTCTACATCGTTGGGCCCAAACAGATTAAGTGTTTCGTCATAACGCATTCGAAGTTCCCATTCTTCGTTATCGATCTCTGATGTTCCATTTGACTCTGTAGGAACAGCCTTGGTAGACCTTTGCGTCGCAATGGCTCGTTGAAAATTCCTTTCACGTCGTGCATATGTTTCGCGAGCTTCACGAAGTGAAGCAGCAACGCGAACCATAATCTCATCTTTCTCACGAAGCACAGACTTACAGCGGTTGAACACTGACATATATTTTTCGATCGCATCGTCCAGGTTTCCCAACCTGGCATCGACATCTGCCGCGTCTAGGAGCTCAGCCAGCTCCACCTGATTCCTAGGCCACCGTTCGCCTTCTGAGATAAACCGGTACTGAAGAGAAGTTTCCCAAAGATCCTTAGCTTTCTGCAGCTCTCCCTTAAAGCGGCATGTCCTCGCAAATAGCGGTGCCACAGCGCCACAGAGCATGAAATATCTGCCATCTGGTGGTTGTATTGTTTCTCGTGGGATGTTTGACAGAAAATTGTTAAGAACACTGTATAACCTTCCTATATGCTTTCTCATAACCGCATCATTGAAGGCTTTATTGCTGTTGTGCAATGCTCGTCCAGTGAGTATAAATGCAGCGGCCACGTTCTCCAGAGTGTCTTCCCTGGACATTTTGAATCGGATAAAGGATCGAACCAGGTCATGGATGATGAAGGTATCAATATTCGCATCGGATGAATTGCGACTAAGCTTGATAAAGCCAGAGCTCTCGAGCTCCCCAAGCGCAAATGCGAAATCAGTCGTCTCAGACCGCAGGCGTTCCAACCAGGTTAGTACGCTACATGATGGGGTGTTTGATATATCCGAGGGCAGCGTGATCGATTTTTCAGAACACCCAGTCTGGGCTGAGCCATTAGGTCCAGAAAGGACAGAGAATTGTATCTGGCCTGGCCCAAGGAAAGCGGCCAGATTAAGAAGCCTGACTGAATCCAGACTTCGTTGGCTCAATGCATCGTATAACATGTCAAAAGCTGTCCAGAGGGTACGCCCCTTCTCATACGATCCAACGTATCTTCTGACGGGAGTTTTCAACGCTTTGTCCAGAAATCGGATCTGAAACTGTTGGTTGTAATCGCTCATGGAGATTAGCCCATACGACAGGAAAGAGCCAGCTTGTTCAAGGGCAAGAGGCACCCCATCGAGTTTACGAGAGATTGCCTTGCCTATCACTCTGACTAAACCCACATCAGCACGAGTCAATTGAACAAATCATTATGAAGAGATATACCAGAGGGATCTGAGGACCGAATGCCCGCACATTTTAGAAGAATCTCAGAGCCCGTATGTTCATCAACGCCTTGTAGTTGAATTTCAAGAAATCCCAGTCGCGATTGCAGATCAGATGCGGTGGTTATCAATAGGAGGTGGCCATGATCACAAGAGGGTAAATACTTTCTAATATCAAGACCGTCGCATCCACTCATATCATCGAAGCTTGGTATTCCGTCGAACACCATAATCCATGAGCGATTCGTATCTTGCTCTAGCCACTCAACCACCCTGTCAACAGCTGGGCGCTCATTTCTAGAGTCTGGTCGTATTTGTGAAGAGATTCGTTCAAACGATTCATCAATCATAGCGGTAGACGAGCTATCAATCCATAAAATAGACTGATACGATTCCTGCTCAGTGGTGATGTAATGAATTGCCAACTGCGTCTTGCCATATCCACTGAGACCCCAGACCACGACAGCTTTCTGACCTGGCTTGGGTGAATTGAAGTATTGCCGAGTTTTAACAAGCTCTATCTGTCGCCCAAAGAACTTTGTCTTGAGGATCGGGACTTTTGTCCGAATTTTCTCTGTTGAGTTTTGCCGTTGAGAACCACCGGTACTGGGGATGGAGAATTGCAAAAGCTCTTTTGCATATGCAGCCGCAGTCGCTGCTGCATAGTTTTGCCATTGCTTATTCTTGTGGGAATCTGAATAGTCACAGATCCCTCGAATGACTAAACAGGGGAAATGGTCCATCAGCCCTGCGGCTTCCATCTCATAGCATAGGACTCCCAGCTCTCTTGCTAGCCGATCGCGTGTTGATGCATCCTTCATCACCTGGTTTGCGGAGGCGATGAGACCGTAATGAATGCGTGGTTCTGTGGATTGCCTTGGGGAGCGAGTCATTATCTTGCTACAGTTACATCCACAGCAAGAAGCATTGGATCCTTGGTGACGGTGCGGCGTTTTAAAAAGAATGTCTTGGTCCTGCCCAGGATAGATGAACGATGATCTCATGCAAGGATATGCCTCTGCGGCCATTTGTAGATGAGAGGTGATGTGATTTTCGCCCATAATATGGTTCGCCTGAAGATCAGAAATCGCTGTTAGGAGAGCTTCGGGCGGTTTGTTCAAGGTCCCAGTTCGATGGAACGCCCCGTCTGCCAGGGTCTTTCCATAATCGTATTGTACCACTCCCCCGAAGCGATCAGTCGGCTTGCTAACTACAACATCTCCCAGGCGAATATCGACTGAATCGTTCGGTGCGCCGCCACCAATCCCTACCATCAGCCCGAAATTGATAGAGGGGAACGTAGATCGCATCTGCTGAGCTGCCACCGCAACAGAGGTGTGACCGTACACACCAGAGGGGAGACAGGCAATAACAATATTGTGGTTTGCTATTTTCCCAAGCCGGTAAGTATTGTGGTCACTCTTGGGCACTGGGAGTGAGGTGTGAACTTCATTCAGCATCGCCTTTGCAGTCGCCATCTCAAGTGGCAAGGCGCTAATCCAGCCGACTGTGTAATCATGGTGCTTCAGCTTCCGTGATGATGACATACCTTAGGCGCTATGAATGTAGAAACCAAGAGATTGATGCTGTTATAATAATAAGAGTATTCCTGATAGAATTTTGGGGGGGAAAGAAAACGAGGCTGAGCTTCTTGGCAAGGCTTGATGATCAGTTATCTCCTTATACAGGATGTGCTATGTCCTACATGCCAACTAGTTATAGCTGTCTTCTTTGCAACAAAGCTCTCTCCAAATTGGACTTATACTTGTCAATAAGCTGTGATAATATGGTTGACTGCTCCTTCTATGACACTATTGGCCGGTCGGCCAGCTCACTGAATCCTGGCCGAAGTGAGCACTTGCGGAGATCTTTCGAATGGGATAGACTGGTAATATAGTTGGGAAACCCCAGAGACTACGATGGATAAAAATTGAGACTCAGCATGATGATACAGCCTCAGGTGAATAGACAGAGAAAGGATGGGGATAAAAGGTTGGTTGACGGACCAGAAAATATACACGGGGTGCCCTAAGTTTTCCCCTTTAAAACAATGATTTCACAATAATCTTGGTCTTTGCTGATTCCACTTAAACATAACGAGCTTGGAAGTCCCAGTTGCACACTGCAAACGGCAGTCCATTGAACAATCATTAATATTCGGTATACTTCATAGATATATATACAAAGTCTTTGCCACCTTGATGTATGTCGAGTCTTCCGTCACGAAGCGAGGTCGTTATCAGCAGCATTTGTATTAATTTTAGCCTTTTCTAGGCTATACTACTGCAGCAATGTCCGTAAAAGCAACTCATCGACGGGGATGGGACAGCTGTCAGCCTCACTTTGCCGCCGACGATCTCACACAGCAGCCAATCTAATTTGTTCTTCCTGCAGAGCCTTAACCTCGACTACCGTCACTGGTCTCGATATATTATGGCGAAGTCGTTGGGCAAACGAGACTGTGTAAAGTCCTGGACGAGTACATCGGGCAAAATTACAGCCTCGTCTTTATATAGTACTCGACTTTCGGCGTTCTCTCAATAAATGTGACTATATCCTGTGCTATTCCCATTGTCAATCTTTCTTGAAAAATTTTCAGTGCATTTGATCCTCAACAATGGATCCAGAGTCAAGTCCGGATCCAGTTGAAAAGGAACCCAACTCCGACAGATCCAGTCATCTCGCATATTCTCACCATGCCAATTCAGACGAAGAAGGTCTTATGAAGCAAATATAAGACAGAATTCATGATTTAGACCATAATGAATTACTTCATTTGAGGGATCTTCTGAGCGGAACTCTCAATAAGATTGAGTTCCGTCTTCTGGAGACATCTGAGAGCGTGCCATTACTGCCCACAGCAGCGGCATCGAAATCATCCTCAAAATTGTATCGCTGCCTGCTGTATGGGCAGGGTGCTGAGTATGCCTATTGGACAAAGGACACATTCAAACAACATGTGGAAAACGAACATGTTCCCCGATATGAAATTTATTGCCCGAAGTGCACATACATAACTAATCGGAAGGATATATACCTAGATCATCTACGGCAGCATGATTTAGAGTCTGGGAAATTAAGGGTGCGTCCTTTATCAACGCCATCCCGCTGCTGGCTATGCTCCAAAAAAAGTGACATCCTGGAACGAATTTTTCCATTGTATGGCAAACCATTGCTGTTTTCATACCTCGGACTACGCTTCCGGTGATGATTCGGGTTCGGACTCCGGAACTGTTGTTGTCGGCTCCCAATTTCTGGATAAGGATACATTTAGCACTGCAACTGCAAATTCTCTCGATTCACTGCAAGATAGACGTGCCGACGACGACTGTGAGCAAAACAACTATAGTGAACAGACGAATTATATAACAACAAATCCAACAGATGTCAACGCAGATGATTATGCCTTGCCATTTTTGGATACCACCCGCTTCAAGGCGGACCTCCATGATCCACAAAGTGCAGACGCGCCCTCGACCGGCGAAGCAGCAAGCTTTTCATCAACACCCATAAATACCACGAGGCTCGAGTATGGGGCAGTCGGACAGGTTGGTGAAGTGGGGCGGGAGAGGCAGCTGAAATTACAACATCAGTCAGTGAAGCAGTACCGGCAGCGACAGCAGGAAGTGGAGAAAAGAGAGTATCTTCGTCACCAAGAGCATCATCGAGTACATCGACAGCCTGGGGTGGAAGCCTCGATAGATTCAGGGGCTGACCAGGACGATGGCTTGGAATTCTTACTGAATCCCGCTAAATACTATGGAAAGCTGGAGGAGCTTGAGGTGGACACTGCTCTTGAATGTGGTATTGATCGAATTTTTTACCACCCGCCTGGCGAACCAGAACCCTACTCCACCATATCCGAGTGTATCCAAGCACTTTCGAGATGCGTCGATGCGTTCCTCAATCTTCAAAAAGAGGGTTTCTGTGAGCGCGTGTTCACAATTCTGGCGGAAGATCCTTCTAGGCAAGATGTCGCAAAAGCCGTTCATGTGTCATTGGAGAACATAAAAACATTAGTCGTCTCGCTTTGTGCTCCGGAAATGTCAGAATGGGACGTTATAGTCTCTGCGCATGTTCTGTCTCTCATATGGAAAGCTCCAACGTCGCCAGAAAGACGAGGATAAAAGATCAGTGCCACAATTAGCACCCCGTGAGTTGTTGCCGTCCCTCAGGTTTCTATGCAAAGTGTTATCAGTTGGTCTCGTATCGTTCGCCGGTTCACATGTTTGTCGTTTCGACATCAACCTTCGCGACGAATCAGTGGAAACGATTCCGGTCGGATTCGGTCTTAAATTCACTCTGCGAAAACTGGCGTGCCTCGACGAGTTTATCGGTGGACCTGCATGGATTCTGGGGAAGCATGACTCGACAGCGTCACCAGAAACTGGCATTAAAGTCTCTCTCACCGTTCAGGATTTCCAACAGCTCTGGGGACCAATATGGCTGCTTGGTGGGATTCCATTCGAAGCCCCGGTTATAAAGACAGAAAGGGGCTTTATTATTCCCCTATCTGACCAACATCAGAATGACATACAACATCGTGACCTGCCATACGAGGTCGTGTGTCACTGGACCAAACAACCACCCTAGTTTTTAACTTTAAATGAGCGCCAGCAAAATCTCCTATTGAGCACTAGCACGCGGATATTGATTGGAACCACTAGCGATGCGGGAAATTTTGGATTCGCCGTCAATGATGAGTGCCGAAGCCAGATTGATTCAATACAGCAACGTATTGCCGGTCAGCTCGAGTTCCCAGGGGCATGCAAAGCTCATTACGTTCGCGATGGCTGGACGATGAACTTTAGTGGCGGTCAGTACGTCACGGGAGGAATTTCCAGGAGTTGGAAAAGAATGCCAGCACGAACGTACAAGAGCGCATTTATTGAGTATTGCACCAAGCCAGATGCCGAGGTGACACCGCTCTTAAAGCTCCAGATTGGCCTTGAAATCAGTGCGTGTACTTGGAACGCCCGACGAATCTCCCTCTGGGATGCGCTTTGTCTATCACAGACGAAACGCGCGAATGCAAAAGCTAGTATGGCTACTTCGCCGACATCATGCGAGCACAGTATTGCTGATTGTATCAGCTCCTGCTGGGACAAAGAAAACAATTCCAGGGGCGAAAGAGCGAATGCCTTTGGAGACGGGCCCATAGATCAGCAGGTATTGAGCGACTACGATGCCTGGCGCAGAATAACCAAGTCCATCCTAGCGCTTCAACACACTGGAATCGACCATAAAGGAAGCTTGCAGGCCTGGTGGCCATTTATCAACACTCCACAGACCTACCGCATGACACCGAATGAAGTCAATAACTGGTTTCGCGTCGTCGAAGATTCCCCGATAACGGCGACCTTTGCCGTCATCAGCAAACGCTGCTTGGAGCTTCGAGAGCAGGGGATTGCCCGACAATACTCAACGCCATGCAGAAACGGTCATGTTCGATTTGCACAGACCGGCCTATTGACTCGAATCATGCTAGATCCTCTTCTTCTGTCTGCACGTAACGGCAAAAAGAAGCAGCGAGATGACCTGCCAGCAGAAGAGGAAACGGTTGGTCTGGTCCAGGGTACCAAGGTGGTCGTGGGCGAAGCTCATCTGACCGTTGAGAGTGGATCTAAAGGGGATCAAAGGGCTGTGATCGCATCAGTCAGTACAAATCCCGTGTATAAATTGGGAGCTCGAGTTCGACTATTAGCGGAAGGGAAGATTCTCAGGGCCCGGGAGCAAGTGAACGATGAAATCACGACAGGGGCATCATTTCCGGTGATCGTTTATTAGGAATGAGGACAGTTAGTTATCAGTTTAGATAGATGGATACCATAGAATATTAAGGGGAGTTCCCCAAAGAGGTTACAACAGCCACATAACACCAGCCACATCTCAATGCGGAAGTGGCGCTTGTCCACATACATTATAGTTTTGAACATGATTATTGGCTGCCCCTGATTCAGTATCACAATTGTTACTGGCTAGTAGAGTGGATCAACGTGCTAGTGTGGTACAGCATGATTGGCGGGCATAATTAGCACGGGGGTTCCAGAAAGCGGGTAGAAGCCCTTTCAGTTGGAGTCTCCGTTTTCGGGGGACAATACGAGTATTTGAATAGGGACGGTATTGACTGTACTTCTACGATATCTTGATGTAGTTCTTCAAGGAACACATAGTAAATATGCATTGGTACAAGGTAGGAGAGCATACGAATACATAGTGCGTACTATCGTGGCGGCATGTCAATTCGATGACAGGAATCCACCTGCAGTCCCGGCCTTGGCTTCGTGTTCATCTCCTGATTGTGTCAGCGCTCTGCCCCCTCTTCCTCTTTCATCTTTCTCTAACATTCATTCTTCGTGGACCATTGTTATTCTATCCCTATCCCCAATGTGAATCATTATCCTACTCCGTCTCCTTTCTATATATACTGCGCGACATGAACCATGCCTTCCGATGCAGCACATGACTCCTTCGAGCGCGAAGATGCCCCGTTCTTGCAGTCCTCCGAGGGTGACAGCTCCCCGATCTCGCCCCTCGACGAACCGAAACACCACCATGAATCGGAGGCGAGAGATCCAGCGTCGCGGAAGCTCCGGCTGCGGTTACTCCTTACCCTCTTCGTCGTTGTGCTCGCCGTGGAAATGGGGTTGAATATGGCCGACAGCCCTATGGTTCGGATCTACGAGTCGATTACCTGTCGCCATTATTATGCCCAGCATGATTCGTCGCAGATTGGTGCGGATGGCCAGGTTGAGGAGGAGCTGTGTAAGGTGAAGGACATACAAACCGAGTTGGCCGCTGTGAAAGGGTATATGGAATTCTTTGATGGGTTGTTGAGTATGGTTATCCCTGGCGGCATACCGGCTGTGCCCTGATTGCTTACATGCTGGCAATAGGCGTCTTCCTTGCAATTCCTTACGGTCTGCTCGCGGATAGGTACGGACGAAGATGGGCCATCTGCCTCAGTGTCCCCGGCTTTGTCCTGAACTCCGCCATAATCACGGTCGTGCTGTGGTTCTCTAATATCTTCCCTCTGCGCGCGGTATGGCTGTCGTCTCTGGCGTGGTTGTGCGGTGGTGGTCCTGTCGTTGCGTTCGCGATTATTTGGACGATAATGTCGGACGTGACGACGGAAGATGAGCGGTATGTCTTTGTCACCAACTGAAGACTGTGACGCGTGTCTGACTTTAAGCAGAGCTTCGATTTTCTTCAAATTCGCAATCGTCACCATGGGCGGCGAACTCATCTCCAACGCTCTTGGTTCGTGGTTAATGACCATGAATCCTTGGATTCCAATGCTCCTCGGTTTCACGCTGGCCTTTTTAGGCATGCTTTTTGTATTGACACTCCCAGAGACCATGCCTGTGTCGCCCCCGAAGGCCAATCAGCCGGAAATGACAACTGTGGAGATGGGTCATTTGAATGTTAGCCGCAGAGAGGGTTACAAGGATGACAGCGAGGATGAGCATGCGTTCACAGAGAAGACCGCAACGACTTCCAGCAGCCGATCTCTCTTTTTCACTCTCTATACCAGATGTCGAAACTACTTCGCACCTTACACCTTCATATTCCGCAACAAGCAGATCCTTCTTCTTCTCGCAGCCTTCTTGGTCTACCGCCTCAGTCGAAGTTCCTCATGGTTCCTTGTCCAGTATATTTCCACCCGATACTCTTGGTCCTTGGCAGAGGCCAACTTTCTCATGTCCCTCCGACCTTGTCTCACCATTCCGCTCTTCCTCTTCATCCTCCCTGGCATCTCCAAATATGTCCTCCGAAATTTCCGCACCTCTCAGAAGAACCTCTACCTCGCCCGTGCCAGCGTTCTTACCCTGTCCATAGGCACATTAGGCGTTGGCCTTTCCCCAAACGTCACCTCATTCATTCTAAGTATGACCGTCCAGGCCTCTGGGGCAGGATTCCTCTTCCTCACGCGAGCACTACTCACAGTGCTAGTGAGACGAGAAGAGACTGCGCGGTTGTTTACGATCATGGAGCTGCTACAGTCCGTGGGCAATGTGATTGCCAGTTTATCTATTACAAAAGTTTTCCAGATCGGCTTGGAGTTGGGTGGTGCTTGGATTGGACTTGCTTGGATGATGACAAGCACGGCGTTCGCTCTGGTGGGCGTGTCGATTTGGATGTTCCGGTTGCCTCCTGTGACCAAGGCGAGAGAGGAACAAGCTGAAAGGGAAGTGTAAATATTATCTCTCTTTATTTCCTATCCGTATATAGGCGCATTGGGTTGTTGATATCTGTACATATATTTCTTCCGGTATATATTATGGGAAATTGGACCTTCCTTGGTACATGGCCATTGGAGCGTGCATGTTATCGGAGCAGCAGCAATTTACTGCACAACATGGAATACTGGAATAGTTATATCATGTTTCACAAGGCTTGACACTGGCAGTGACTATTAACACACTGAAGACTGGACTTGTCGGAGGGTGAGATGGTAAAGGGAGGCCTAGTTGGGTATATTATGCCTTAGGTATCAAATTTGGGGATATGGCATCCTCAGGCATCAACACGTCGTTCTCCGATTGGCGGGGTCCAGCACGACTCCAAGTGTTCACATGCGGGCATGTTCTTCGCTTCGGCTTCATGATTGACGCTCTGAATGTGCGATGATTTTCTAGAATTTTAACCTTATTCCTTTCTCATCCCTGCCTCTTTGCTCCCAGCTACTACTAAATCTAATCTTCGCGCGCATACCGTTGAGTCGAGTCAAGCTTACACCCGACGTCACTGACATGGAGAAGTTCTCCCAATTCCGGGATCGAGGTACATTCTCTTTACTCGAACACTCACACCGGAGAATAAACTAACCATACGCTTATTAGGATCCGGTATCGCGCCATTCCTCCCGATTCCCGCCCAACCGTCGGGTTACCAGCTCCCTCTGCGCGTGTTCCTGTTCTTCTTCCGCCTCCCGCTCTTCATCTTTGTGTGCTTTACCTACTTTGCCATTTTGCAATGGTTTCCGATCGGGTCGCTGGGGAAGAAGGCTTCGCTATGGTGTATTCTGGGGGTGCCGAGTATATGGTGGATTGATCTTCAGATTGATGGGGTGCGAAAAGGGTGTGTTGCTACTTCCCGGGGTTTGTTTATTTGGGTCAGAAGCTGACGAGATTGGAAAAGGTCGCTCTCAAGACAGCAACAGGCTCGTCTCCCCGGTCCAGGATCAATTATCGCTTCGTCCTTTACCTCTCCCATCGACGCCGTATACCTAGCCGCCATCTTCGATCCTATTTTCACCGCGTCATACCCCAACACCCGCCAGGTCGAGCACATCTCCCTCCTACAAGCGATTCTGCGCGCGTTCGCACAGCCCCGCGTCAGTCCCTCCCCCAGGACACGGATGGTCGATGTCTCGACACTTTTGAAGAAATACCCCAACCGACCGATCGTGATGTTCCCCGAATGCACGACCACAAACAGCCGTGGTATCCTACCTCTTAGCCATTCGCTACTGGGTGCGCCCCCACAGACGAAGATCTTCCCGGTGAGCTTGCGTTACACACCTGTGGATGTTGTCACACCGCTGCCGGGGACGTATCTGAGCTTCCTGTGGACGTTGTTGAGTGGGCCAACTCACTGTATACGTGTTCGCGTTGCCGAGTCGGTGGTTAGTGGAGCTGGAGCGGGTATGAGCCAGGTTAGCAAGGACCTGAAGCATGAAAGTGTTGAGAGTTTCGAAGCTGCGATTACACCAGCTGAGAAGGGATTGTTGGATAATGTGGGTGAAGCGCTGGCTCGACTGGGTCGGGTTAAGCGTGTTGGATTGGGAGTGAAGGAGAAGCAGGACTTTGTACGGATGTGGACTAAGACGCGACGGACGTGGTAGTACCACTTATGGACTCGTATAGACGGATCAAGATCTGGTTTCTTGTATATTATCTTGCTTCAACATGGGCAATGGGGTCCGTGTCCATTTTCCATGGAATGCCACAAACTCACTTGAATCGATTACGGGTACTTTATGATCTCATCGGCCAGTGAATCTCGTCCAGCTCTGCCAGCTCAATGCTTCTTGATACTCCAGAGCGACAATAAGTACCGAGGCTACTCGATATGGACAGATCATCTGTGGATACTCAATCGATCACCGATCCATTGACCATTCCTTCGAATTCACCCCTACCGGGTGTCTTATCTGCGGCCCAAATATGCAAAGTATGCGCAAGTACACATCAGGTTCGACTATGTAGCTCCGTGCAGAATATGTTGCCCATGCGTGATGCACGGAGCAAGAGTTTATGAAAATACAGGGTTTAGGATCCGCCGAAGATCAGATCTACTGTCCCTGATTGGAAGGCAATTTGCCGTGTTGGTGCATGGATTGAATCATTGAATATGCCGGTGTCCGATAGTATGGGTGACAACTTGCTTCTTTTTTCTTCATTGTAAACATGTTTGTTGTTCTGTTCTCCGGACACCTAGCAGCATCTCTCCCTCGCCCATGAAGGGAACAGAAGGAACAGAAGATAGCAACGGAGGATATTTGCAATGGCATTAATGACGGATTCTGGTAACGTTGCAAATCGCCATTCTGGGGGGTCTTCACCAGAGCCAAGGAGCGAGGCTGTATCTCAACCTCCGGCAAACCCCATTCCTAATGGCGGCCTCACAGCTTGGTTGCAGGTTGTGGGGTCGTTTATGGCCTTTTTAAACACATGGTACAGTTACTCTCGTCTACCATCTGAATTGTTGCTTACAGATGCAGGGGTATTGTGAATTCCTTTGGCGCGTTCCAAAGCTACTACAGCTCCGAACTGCTCAGCGATGTCTCTGACTCGAATGTCTCATGGATCGGATCTATCCACGGCTTCCTGCTCTGTCTCACGGGCTTCCTGGCCGGTCCACTCTTTGATACCGGATACGCTTATTACCTGATCTACATTGGCTCATTTCTAGTCGTGTTTGGTATGTTCATGGTCAGTCTGTGCACGCAGTATTGGCAGGTCATGCTGGCGCAGGGTGTCTGCATTGGTCTGGGCAGCGGCTGTCTATTCATTCCCAGTGTTGGCATCATCCCAACCTACTTCAGCACTCGTAAAGCGCTCGCGACGGGTCTCGCAGCGTCGGGGAGCAGCATCGCTGGCGTTATCTACCCCATTGCCTTTACCCATCTCCAGCAAAATATCGGTTTCCCATGGGCTACACGAGTAATCGCCTTCATTATGCTAGGCACCCTCTCGATCTCCATCGCAACATTTCGCGTGCGCGTACTACCACCCGAGCGACGCCGCCTCTTCAACCCCCAAGCTCTCCGCGACGTCCCCTTTATGCTCTTCAACGCAACCGCCTTTTTCACCTGCGTGGGCCTCTACGTCCCTTACTTCTACATCTCCAACTACTCCACCACCCAAGCCAACATGTCCCCCTCCCTAGCCTTCTACATGGTCCCTGTGCTAAGTGCGGGCTCCGCATTCGGCCGCATCCTCCCCAACTTCTTCGCGGACAAAACCGGTCCCCTCAACATGATCACCATCTGCACCTGCGCCGCTTTTATCCTCGCTTACTGCTGGCTCGCGATCGCCAATACACCTGGGATCATCGTCTTCTGCGTGCTGTACGGTTTCTTCTCGGGGACGTTTGTGTCGCTGCAACCTACGTCAGTTGTCACACTGTCGCCGAGTCTGAGTATCCTCGGGACGAGAATGGGAATGAGTACACTTTGTGCTGGATTGGGGACGTTAGTTGGGACTCCGGTCGCGGGGGCGATTGTGGGAAAGGGGAGTTGGGTGGGAGTGAGGTTGTTTTGTGCTTGTGCGCTGGCGGTGGGGACGGTGTTTGTTGCTAGTGCGAGGGTTGTGAGGAGTCGGAGGGTGATGGAGCAAGTATAGCATGTGTTTATGAGATATGATACCATAGACTACGACTAGAGAAAAGTGCTTAGACTTGTCTTTTTGACCCCGCTAACATAAAGCTTGAAGCTAGCTATAGCACACTACCCATCGAGTTAGGGATCACTAGCGGTCGCTTTTCCACCGGAATTCCTTGTCCTTTCCCTATTATTCTCTATGACTTCTTTATTGAAATAATCGCTATTTTAAGCCATTATTCATCTACCCCCAACTCTTTGTGTTTCCTCCGCTTCACCTCGGCATTCTATACGGAAATCTCCTCGCCGGCCGACAATCGCCCATCATGAGACCGTCAACGTCAGAAGCCTTGTTACACGCTGAACCATGATACCAATGACACCCTGACGCGACCACGAGGCTTCTGCAGACCTTCGGGGAATTTCCATGATTACCGGTTAGTGATGTATTAATGTATGTGCTAGGGCTGCTTCATGCAACGGGGATCCCTCCACCGTTGCAGCGGGTCACACCACTTTACATAGTTTGGGCTGCAGGAGCAATGGCATAACATAATGCGTCTAAATATATACACAAGTATATAAAAGATGAGGGGGGTTGGCCGTCCCTGTTGCTTTGCTATGGCTAATCGTTCATTGTTCATGTTCATTGTTTATTGTGCTGCTTCTATAAAGAAGTAGTTGCTACGTGCCGAATCGGGAAGGGGCACTGCAGCCGGACTGCGACTTCCAAAATAAACCACCTCTTTATACTTCATCTTCTTTGTGTCTACACCACAATCACCTTTGTCATTCCACGGCCCATTGTACCAGAAAAGCCACCAAGCAATGGCACGTCCCGAGAAACTGTCCAAGAGTCGCCCCCCGCTGCAGGTCCAGACGGCCAGCGCTCAAAATGTCCTCCACCGTCCTCAATTCCGTCATCCATTTTCCCCTTCGCAGCCGGTCTCTGCATGCTCTCCGGGGTGGGCTTGCTCGAGCGGCAACACCACCACCAACGATAACGTCAATAACAGCCTGTCTCTCTGCGCAGCGCCTCCTACGCCCGCGACTCCTGGGCCGTACAGTCGAGATCGACACTGGAGCGTCTCGTCTGCTCCGTTGCCCCCTCCTGCGCCAATGTCACATTCCAGTCGTCCACGAACAATGGTGAGGAAGACGTCTTGTCCGGATTTGTCGAGGGTGGTATCGCAGACGGTGGAGATATTGGCGAATGAGGCTGCGTGGGAGCGGGATTGTGGTTTGTATGGGTATGGGGAGGGTGTGCATGGTAGTTTGTCGAGGAAGTTGGATCAGATTATTACGTTGATTGATGAGGGGTTGTTTAATCGGAAGAGAGATTTGGGTGAGTTTCTTTACTCTTGGTTTTGAGATCAGGATCAGGGCTAATGTTGGCAGCGTTTGCGTCTCCGGTTTATGATGATGATTACTATCAAGCGGTACCTGGGTTTGGGAAGTCGAAGCATATGCAGAATGCGGCAGAGTACTTTTCGAAGGTTTATCTTTATTATAACTCGCGGTTGCCGGCTCAGCTGCCGCCGCTTAAGCTGTATGTACCCTTTCTGTTGTGGGTTGACGAGTGCTAACCTGTGCAGGAGCATATATACACCAACCTACACGCTTCTCCGTTTGGCCGCACGATACTCGCGCCAGGTCTACCAGAAGCCCGTTGGACCGGAACGACAGTGCTACATCGACGCAGATTGGCGCCAGGGTACCAAGGCCATGGTCATCAAGTCGATCCCTCTCGATCGTAGAAACGCTATCGTCTTCGCGATTCGCGGCACCCAAAGTTTCCGCGACTGGACCATCAACCTGAAAACCGACCCGAAGTCCCCGGAGGGGCTTCTTGACGACCCGGATAACCTCTGCCATGCCGGATTCCTATCTGTTGCACGGAAGATGGTGGGTCCTGTCGCAGCTCGCCTGCGCAGTCTGCTAGCTGAGGATCCCAATCGGGTGGCGCACTCTCTAATCATCACGGGACACTCCGCGGGGGGTGCAGTTGCTAGTCTGCTGTTTTGCCATATGCTTTCGGAATATGTGCAGTCGGAACTGACTCATCTGCGTCCGTTTTTCAAACGGGTGCACTGTGTGACATTCGGGTCGCCACCGGTGTCCATCCGGCCGTTGCAGCTTCCTCGGTGGAATGCCCGGTCACCCAAACGGTCCATGTTCTTTGCATTCATCAACGAGGGTGATCCCGTGCCACGTGCAGAGAAAGCCTACCTTCGTTCTCTATTGGACCTGTACGTCTCACCTACAAAGGCGCAGGGTGAGTCTAGAAACTGGAAAGTCCCCCGAGCGACACTGTCAGCTGCTGGACGGCTGGTGCTGCTGCGGAGAAAGCAGTCAGTCGTGTACCCGAGTTTACCCGGCTCCGAAGGGATCGAGGCGAGTATTATTACTCATGGACAGTTACGGGAAGTGGTGTTTGGAGACCCTCTGATGCACACGATGGATCTTTATGCGAAGCGGATCGAGGAGTTGGCCCGCAATGCGGTGCATTACTCGGCCTATTTGCCATGATTATGGATTAATATGAATGATGTAGTTATGATTTAGAAATGAATAGAATAAAATAGATAGGATATGACTCGAGTGATCGGGTTAAATATGAAACGATGTACTGAGTCGATGTCGTGCTATTCAATTTGAGGTGCCTCGGTTATAGTATTTGAACAGGGTGATAAAAAAAAAAAAAAGAAAAGAAAAAGAATTCAAGAAAGAAATAAGAAGTAATAATAATATAGGAACATGTGAATAAATAGCTATAAATCGACTCAGTGGTGGTATAGAGTGATCCATAACCATTGGGGTTAGGTTATATATCTCTACTACGTCATATCCCGTATTATGTTCACGACTATGTTTATTCGAGTAGAGCGCAGAAATATATTGTTATTCCTATTTCAGCAAATGAATATTTGCTTCGATATGTTTACGCTGAGACGCGAGCGAGGTTGATGTAAGTCGTCACCAGTTCAATGGCTCCCCTCTCAGATACTCCACTAACCCACCAACCACCCCCTCCAAATCCCTCTGACTATCACAAGAAGCATAAACAAACCGATCCGGCCTTACAATCACATACCTAACCCCTCCCCCTCCCAAAATCTCCCCAAGATAATAAGGGTTGTAATGTCTTGGCTCCGGGCGTCCTCGACATAATGGTGAACCGGCAAACTCTTCCGTTGTAGCGAGTCTGTAGACTGGGGACATTGTATCCTCTGTTTCTGGGGAAGGTGTAGTTGTAGTAGTCTCGATGATATAGGTTGCTTCGGTGGCGGGTAGTTCGCCGTTTGATGTTTGCTCGATGGTTGAGACTACCTCTCGCGCGGAGGGTAACTCATTCAAATCTCGAATATAAACCAACACTTGAAAAAGCCCCCTCTTCCCCCTCCCAAAAACCACATCATCACTAAACAAAACCCCCTCATCCCCCCCTCGTCCCCCTTTCCAACCAGAAACGTAAACCTGCGGAACACAAACCCCACCTCCCAACCCCGGAACGAACGGCATCCCATCCGCAAACTCATACCGAATCATCCCCTTTTTCCTGTGCCCGAGTCTCATATCTCGGCGGTAAGTCGGTAGAAACGAGAGAATGTAGAGGGACCAATCGCGGAGGAGGATTTTGAGCGGGTTGTGCTCTGTTACGAAGGCGCCGTTGGCGATTGTGGCGGAGAGGGAGCGGGTTAGTTGTTGTTTGCGTTCGCGGGACCAGGATTGTAGGATTTGTTGGTGATTGGTTTTGGGAGTGTAGGTGGGGGAGGGGAGAGGTTGGCGGATGAGGAGAGCTAGACGCCAGGATAGGGAGACGGCGTCGCGGAAGCCGGAGGCTATGCCTTGGCCACCGACTGTTATAAATTGGTATTAATTTTGATGAGATGGGGTATAGGGAGGGAGGGGAGGTGTACATGGAGGAAAAACATGCGCGGCATCACCACAGAGAACGACTCGGCCGTGAAACCACTCATTGCAGCTTCGCGCAGCGAACCTGAATGGTCTGGAGCGGAGGACATGGATGCAATCTTCCGGGAATCGAACATCCCGCGACAACCTGTCACAATTAATCACCTGGCCATTTCCACTATCCAAAGTGATACTCACCCATAGCGACTCCCAGTATGTGAGAAGTACGGAAAAACAACCTCTTTAATCTTCGCAGGACTGGCCATCTCATCTCCATCTTCATCGCTTCGAACGACGAACTCGAAACGACATAACCTGTCTTCTGGGAGGCCGAAGCGACCGCATACGGCAGGACGATTTGGGTTGCAGATAAAGCGGAAGTTGGTTGGGAAGAAAAGATCGTAGACTTGTTGGGGTGTGAAGCCTAGTTCCCATAATGGGAAATCTGGGTGAGTTGTTGGTGTTGGAAGGGTTATGGTCCAGTTTAGTGCTACCCAGGTTTCGTCGTAGAATGATCTGAGTTTGTCAGTTTGACATTGTGCAGAGGAGGTAATAGAGGGGGGAATACTGATGAGCTTGTTCCATGTGTATACCCAATGGCTCGAGGTAATTCTTTCTGGTAAAGCCTGTTTTACCATCTGCGCCGATGAAGAATCGGGATTTAATCGTGTGTGTGGTTCCGTTTACATCTTGGTAGCGAGAATATGTATAGTTGTTGTCTTCGCTGATTTCAGAAACGGTGCAATTAGATCTCAATTGGCAGTATTCAGAGGATGACATTATATCCCGAAGATGTTTCTCCAGAGTTGGTTGTTTGTGGCATATAAAGCCTATATGCCCGGTGCCACCTTCGGTCTGTATATTTCTTAGTATAAGCTCATTGCTCAATCCTTGAAGATAGTATACCGTTCCATAATCCATCTCCAGAAAAGGCATGGTATCAAGCGTCTTCTCCGTCCCTCCGATGAACTTGAATTTCTGCATGCCTGTCTTCGTTATTCGACCAATCGTATACTAGGAACTTGGCAGAGGGAAGACACACAAGTCCCAATATCCCTGTACACATGCTCATAAATCCCAATCCCCTGAAGCAAACGAATCCCATCTTCATCGAGAGCAATACCCCGCGGGTCCGTGGTTATCCCGTCCTCTTTTTCCAGCACGATGTGTCGAACGGATAGCCGGCCGAGATACGCAGAGAGCATAGCCCCGGTTGGCCCGCAGCCACAGATAACCACATCTGTGGTTTCGTAGTCGTGTTCAGCCATGATCGGTGTCAGCAGTTGCAGTTGACGATACGATAGCTAGTCGTTGCAACTTAAGTCCAGCTGAACAACAGGCAGCGTTTGTCAGAACATGCAGCATTTGTCAGCCCAGCCTGCATGATCCCGTGATCCCGTACAGCAGATCCTAGGGCTATTAGCAATAGGTTAATCTTCTTTGGGACCCACGAAAAGATCCTGCGATCGATTGTGGGGTTTGTGGGGCCTACCCTCCTCATCTTGTGGGACATGCGGGGAAGGCTCCTTAACACCGACCTCAGCCTCAATGCTTTAAGACACTTGTACATACTAGTTCGATCCTGGCTATCTACAGTTAGCTTTGAAGCTTCATAGACAAAGCTTAACAGATGGTAAGATCATGACACTCAGTCATAGTACTTCACTGATTAACCATGTTAGGCAATCGAAGCAACCCACGGCTCTGAAGTCCAAGATACCGTCGCGATCGGGCCAGAGCAAGAAGCCTTACAAGCCTGGAGGGAGAGATGCAATATCAACACTGATGCTCAGATTCGGCTGGTTAAACTGTCGCACATGCGATACCAGCATCCGGATCTTGATGAGATCACTGTGTTTCTTCGGGGTATGTTAAGCTTCCCCGCATTTGTATTTTGAGTCTGGTACTGATAAACAAAGACTTTGGAATGGAAATCGCAAAGAGAATAGATGACCAGATTTGGTATCGAGGCTACGGAACTGATCCGTACGTTTACTATGCGAAGAAGGGACCGAAGGAGTTCCTTGGGGGGTCGTTCTTGGTGGAGTCTTATCAGGATTTGGAGAAGTAGGTCTATCTAGCTTACAGACCGCAATCCTGAATGCTAACATCAATGCTAGAGCAACACAATTACCAACATCTGGGGGGATAACGAAACTCACTGACGCCCCCGGAGGAGGATACATGGTTACTCTGACAGACCCGGACGGATTCCCGATCAACCTCATATACGGACAAACACCAGCACCCCCTGGAAAGTTCCCCGAGAAGCTCGCCTACAACTACGAGACCGACAAACCACGAGTCCGCAAATTCCTGCGCTTCAACCCAGGCCCCGCTGCCGTGCACAAGGTATGACATCTACTGACCCCCGTGAGACGAAAGAAAGCTTACATCACAGCTCGGCCACTACGGCGTCTGCACCACCAAATTCGACTCCCTCGTCGACTTCTACACCCGCACCTTCAACATCGCCCCCAGCGACTTCCTTTACATCGATGCCGCCGACCCCACAACCCCCAACGGCAAGAAAAACGTCGCCCTCTTCGCACACATCGACCGCGGCTCCACCCACGTCGACCACCACTCCTTTTTCATGTCCTCGAACCCAACCTCGCACGTGCATCACTGTTCGTTCGAGATCCACGACTTCGATACCCAGAAACTGGGCCACCAGTGGCTTGCGAATAAGGGGTATGAGGCTGTGTGGGGCGTTGGGAGGCACATTCTGGGATCGCAGATTTTTGATTACTGGTGGGATACGACGGGGAATATGATTGAGCATTATGCGGATGGGGATTTGGTTAATGAGGAGACGCCGGTCGGGTATGGGCCGGCGGGGGATGAGTCGTTGGCGGTTTGGGGGCCGGAGGTGCCTTCTTGGTTTTTGCAGTAGTTGGGTTGGTGCTGGATATCATATTATATGAAAATCAAGTGTATTCATTGCGGTGGTTTCTGTGTGTAATGGGATATCAGTAGGTGCTCTTGTACGGTATCAAAGAGACCAAAATTACCGCAACACGATCTCGAGTCGATGAGAAATGGAAGAACAAACACCACGACTAATGCCATTCCAAGTAGCAAGCACATTCGATTTGTCTAAACAACATCGTAAATACTAACCAAGGGCAACTTTCCATGCATAAACCGCAGGAAAAACACCCTAACAAATCCCATACCCCCGATTGACTAGCCTCAACTCCCTCTTCCCCTCGATCGTCACAACTACCCTAGGCTTCCGCGAAGCCGAAAATACCATCCCAGTAATAAAAATCGCCCCCGCCTCGAGCTTTATCACCCGCGAAAGTTATACCATCTGCTGCTTATCCTTTCTGTGTCTGTCCTGAGCCGCGGTGCCGTTATGAAGAGGGTCTCGGGTTTGGATTATTGATTGGGGAGAATGAGACCTATTTGTTTTGTTTTATGCTAGTTGCTGGTCTTTGTGGAAGGTGTAAGTTATGCGTACCAATTAGATAACTGACATACAACACCTTCGCGCAAGATCACTGCGACCCTGCAATGTCCACGCACAGTTGAGTATAACGAGACGCCAGAAGAGAGTAAGACAGAAAGAAAGACAAAGAAAAGAAGAAAAGAAGAAGAAAGAGTCAATCCACAACGTATGCCTCCCGCATTTCCGGCGTAATATTATGAGCAGTATGAGCATACTCAGCCTCAAATCCAGGGACGATATTTCCAATCAATCCAGTCATCACCATCAAATTCAAAGGCCATGGTTTTTTTTCTTCCACCGTATAAGTGGGGAAATATACTGCCCAGGAAGTATATCCACTTTTTGAGCGATTGGATCATCTGGTTTGTGATTGAATACCGCATGCTCAAAGTCAATAAAGACAAGGGAGTCAGGTCTTATAATCACATTCTGCGGGCTTAGATCCATGAGCCCTATATCGATCTTTTTGTAGATCCGCGTTTCAAAATCAATGATTGATTTCATGATCTGCTGGCGCTCATGTCGCGGAATCTTCCCTGGCTTGGCTTGAAGCATTGTGGTGCCTTCGATATATTCGATGAGAACCAGTCGAACTGTGCGATGGATTCTGGAAGACTCGTACCTGACAGAAAGATTCAAGGAATAAGATCAAAAAAAAAAAAAAAAAAAAAAAACTTGGGTACAAGGTCACCTTGAAATTCAGTGAGAAGGTTGTATGCATGGACTTCATGGGTATAGTTCCTGTCAACACAAAGAAACGGGTTCAGGTAGCCTTCATCCTTATTATAGTACAGAGGGTCATAAGTTTTGGCTACAGCCAGTTGAAAGTAACTGCCAGTTGAGAGTGATTGTGTTCCAAGGATATTTACATTAAAGACTTGCGCATTGCAGCCATCTCCAACTCTCAATAAATCAAGAATCTCCAAGTCAGTAGTGTATGGTTCTGTCTTGCCAAGTAGTGGTGGATGCTTCAAGCACCTTTTAACTGGGTTGAGAGTACTTCTCTCCTTTCTGCCTTTTGCTTTATTCTGGCAACAGCCCCTGGTCACTGGTGTAGAAGGAGGAGAAATGTGAGATTGAGCTGTGAACTTCCAGCCTTTGATGTAAGGCACCGGCGGTTTCTGGAAATCTGTTGGTGCACGCATTTTCTCAAAAATAACAAGTTGATAGCAAGCTGATTGCAGTGTTTGACTGGAACTGGAATGCTATGTTTATTTTCGACTACCACAAGGCAAATGATGACAGGACCGTGAGAGGCACATACTTTGATGAATATCGACGAACCAAAGGCATGACATTTCGCCGTCTCCTCTTTGCGTTTGTAACCCGGAAATTATACAGATACCTTCATACCAACGAGAGCTACTAGTTACCTTGCGGTTAGCTTTTATTGTGAGGGTGTTTTAGATATGAGCTATCACTTGTTTATGTTCTCGTGTCTTGTCCTGTGCTACTCTGTAGTATGTGAAGCGTGTTATTTTCATGACTGCCCTCCTTGAAGTTCCTGCAACAGTCTCTAGTCACTGGCGTAGGAGGATCAGGCGTGTGAGATCAGACAGTAAACCTCCAGATTTTCTTGTTGTAAGGCAGTGGTGGTTTGGAAAGCTCGGTTGAATCAGGAAACATGTTCCTACTGTACGCTGGGTGTAGGAATGCTGTCTTCAGTAAGGTGTGGAATTGGCTGGTAAGGAATAAAAGCCGGAGGAGTGCCTGGGAGAGAGAAGGAGAAGAATTCAGTGAAAGAAAGGGAGACCAGTGATTATTCAGCTGCATCTAGGGAACACGTGACCATGGAATTTCAATTCAAAATCGTTGCAGTAAGAGCATATCACTCAAGACTGTATAGGATTCGGTTTAAATGTGGCTCCTGAAAATACAGGGCCGGATTGTGGTGCGATATGACGAAGCAGATGTATCTTAGAATATAATTTCTTGACTTTTTTCGGTCTCGCGATACCTCGAGGGACGAAAGCTGACTGCCTCTGAGTATTGTTCCTGCGATCTCGCTGGGGACTTCGGTATTTGCGACTATTTTCGAAAGTGCCCTATCCCACTAGAGCCCTAATCAGCGCCACTTCACCGCCACACCGCATGTTTTCTGTCACATGTGATCTCACCGTTGAGAATGGAGAGAAGAAGAAAAAAGACTGTTGACTGTATTGCGTCATGCAGAATTCCCTCATCCTTGCTGTTAATCTTCTCCCCTAATTCCCTCAACCAAGGATAAAATTCCCCGAAACCGCCCAAAGTACCCATTGGCAGATCCGATCGGTTACCCACAGCAGTGGAACCCGGAACCCCTTCCCCGGTGGAACCAATGGACCCCGAATCCCTACGCAAAGGTACCGCTTCCCCGAAAGCCCCGACTACCGTTTGCGTCTTATCTTCACCCCCTCCGAACTTTTGCCGGATTTCAAAACAAACCACAGCGGGTCCCGGAAGGAGGGCCTGGCATCCGCGCGGGCGGGTCAGAGAATCCGGCGCAGGGTAGGAAATTAGAGCTGGTCCCGTTGATTCCGGGAATCTGTCACGATCTATGTTGTCGATGGGTCGGTTCTTCTGCAAATGATGCGTTCCGTTCGGATGGGACTATGGATCCGATAAATTTAATTCATCATTCTATATACACACCGGGGAAGCAAACAATGCGATTTTCGATTTCCACCGCCACTTTACCCATAAAACGAAACCCCAACTGGGCTTGGTTTGGGTCAGCAAACATTTGATTATTTTCTTCTTTTGATTTTATTTTATTTATTTATTGATTGATTTTTATTTATTTTTTTGTTTTTTTTTTTATGACGCTCGGAACTTTATTCTGATCCTTTGACGAACGGCCATGTGGCTCGGTAGGGATTCTGACCGGTTGATCTAGCTGGATACCTGCAGATATGTTTCGGGCGGGCTTGGAATTCGAGTTCGGTCCTTTTTATAAATATGGCTCGAGGACTGCCTGCATATAGGGATCTTTTGTACTCTGTACTACTTCTTTATTCCCGTGTGATTTACCCCTCGTCCCTTCAGGAACAAAAGTACTTGTCTTGAATGCTCGATTCATATATAGAGCTGGATCTCTTCAAGGTGCTTGATTATTGCGCAATTCTCTTTCCACCTTATTTAAACCCTCACATTACTGTACCACGCGAAAAATCCACAATGGACAAAAACACTACGACGTCGTCGAGTAACGGTCACAACCATGAGAGAGTCCCGACGTGCATGACGGCCGAAGAACTGGCTTCTTACCAGGCGCAATGGGAGCAAATAGACCATATCACAACCCGGAAACTCAGGGAGGTAAAAGGTATGATGTTCCTTCTATCCGGGTTCTCCAGAATGAGGTCTAATATGTGCCGTTTTCCAGAACAAGAAAAGAAAAAGTCGTCTTCGGGATAGTGCATATCGAGATATGAGTGGCTGTGTTACTGAAAGGTTGCATTACTTGGGCGTTTCTTGCATTTTGTATTTTGCGTTTTTGTTCTTGTTATCATGGCTGTCTTTCTTGATTATTGCATCCGCGAGTTATTTTGCATTTCATTCTAGCGAGGTTTGGCTTAAATTGATTCTTGATCCACTCTTATCACGCAACTGCGCATGACTCATAAAATTAGCTTATGTGAAGATATATTGTACGGTGCACTCCGAACTATTTGTGCATTATCATATTTCCCTCTTTTCATCAGGCGTGTCAATTCTCGGATACCAAACATATCTCCGATCTAGAACCATCGAATATCTAGAATTAAACATGTCCATCTCTGAAGCGGCCAATGTTCCGCTCTTCGAGAATATTCCGGATACTAGATCAGTCCAATCGATCCTGCAATCCAAAAAGTACTTCGGCTTCGATCTAGACGACACTCTTCATGAATTTCGGAAAGCATCTGCGTCCGCCTCGTCAGCCGTGTTCGAAGCAATTCACCAACACTCCGGTATTAGCGTCGAAACCCTGAGAACCACTTTTAGCGAGATCCTACGGTCCAAAACAGCATCTGCATTCACAGAGGGCAAAACATCAACTGAGTATCGAAGAGATCGATTCTCACGTCTTCTCCAAGCCCATGGCTCGGAAACATCCGATACAATACTCGAGCGTCTCTTGGACATCTACAAGAACAGCTTGCAGGCTGCACTGGAACTCAAACCCGGCGCCCTGTCACTCCTCCAGACCCTTAAACGGCTCGATAAAAAGATCATCATTATAACAGAAGGGCCACAAGATGCACAGGAATGGACCGTACAGGAACTCGGGATAGCGCCTTATGTCGATATCCTAGTCACGACCAATGAAGTTGGGAGGTCCAAAGTTGACGGCTTGTTTTCCATCGTTTTGGAGAAGTACGGTATTGATGCTGGGGATATCGTTTATGTGGGGGATAACGAGGTGAGGGATGTGGTGCCAGCGAGGAGTGAGGGGTTGTTGGCAGTGTTGTATGATGAGCGTAGGGAAACAAGGCTAGATGGTATTGAGTGGCTTCGTGTGAAGTCTTTGGGGGAATTGGAGAGTATACTGAGTGCTTGAGCTGTATCAAGGTAGTTGAGTGCTATCTGCTTCTATTCAATGTTCAGTTTTTCAAATAGTACACGACGTGTTGTTGTCGAGGTCAAAATCAGGTCAACGGTCTCATTTGGCCTTCTTGTCAGACTCGTTGGAGGAGCCAACAGCACCATTTTCTCCCGAAGAGCCAGCCGTTCTTTCCTGTCCCTTTGCCTTGCCTTCGCTCTCTTCGCCAACAGTCGTGCTTGCAGTCTCAGTTGCAGCAGACAATTCTTTTTTTCTCCGCTTTCTTCTCGTCATTCTCGTTTCCCTTCTCTTCTCCCTCTTGCTGCTCGCCTTGTTGGCCCTTCTTGTGGGCAAAGAAGATCGAGAGAATAAATCCAATGGCGATCATGGCAATGGCGGCGTAATATCCTGCACGATAACCCTCGAGATTTGTTTGGGGATTGCTCTTGCCGCCGTTTTTCGAAGCAACAGAATCAGAGATGACCGTCAAGACTGCCACGCCGAGAACAGCGCCTCCAACGTTGAGGAACATCTATAGCCGATCAGTACATATTTAAGAAGTATTTGAGCCAGTTGGAAAAGTAACCCACGTTGTAAGCACCAGAGACAGTTCCCTGATGCTCTTCCTTCGCTGTAGCAACGACCGTAACATTGCCGACGAAGTATACCGTTCCAATACCGGCGATATAAAGAATCATGCCGGGAAGGCAGAACTGCCAATATTCATTTCCATTGCCCATGCGAGTGAGCAAGATAACACCCGCCAGACCCAGAAGCCAACTGGCAATAAGCAGATTGCGGGGACCAACAGGGGCCAGGAGGAAGGGAATGACGAAGTTGACGACGCAGGCGGTTATGCCTAGAGGGAGGAAGTGGAGGGCTGTTGATAGGGCGGAGTAACCGAAATCTGCAATGCAACGTGTTAGTGAGGTAGAAATAGAAGAAACGAAGGACTACACGTACTCTGAAGTTGAAGGGTCAACAGATAGTTCGAACCCTGCCACACAGCATATGTCAAGGCGGCGACCGCACATCCAAGGGCTTTGATCCGATCATCCCAGAGATAGCGAGGGAGGACAGGGTCAGAAGAGACCTTCAGTTCAACAAAGATGAAGATCGCAAGTAGCGCTACGGCAACAACCAGCGTTGCAATGACATCCGCTTTGTCCCAGCCATGGACATTGCCGGTTGTTAGTCCGTAGACCAGAAGAATCAAGCCGGATACAGAGAAGAAGGTCCCGAGGGCATCGAGGCGAATATGCAAGTTGGACCATTTGTCGCTGGTTGCAGATGCTGCGCCGGGCAAGTTGCTCGTAAGGAGCAGAGCGATGGCGGCAATCTCAAGGGCGCCTTCGACGATGAGGGAGATCCAGAAGATCTATCGACTCGTTAGCTATGACCATATTGATACATTATTCACAATGGTGGGTATACCCATTCCCACGAAACAAGTGAAGTAAAAACACCGCCAAGGATGGGCCCAAAACTAGTCTCATTAGTCGTTAGTCCAGGATCTCCGACACGCTCTGGAGCACTTACACAAAACCACTTGAGCCGCACGCCCCCCAAGCACCAAAAGCTTTGACCCGAGCCGCAGGATCTTTGAATGACAAGGCAACCAGTGATTGCGCTGAAGGAATTGTAAAAGCCGCCGCCACCCCTATCGCGAGGCCAGTTAGTCACGCATAAAGGGGCAAGACAAAGAAAATAGAAAGAAGGGTGACTTACCTTGAAACGCCCTCCCAACCACAAGTCCGATCTTATCATTAACAAGAGCACAGACTAATGTGGCAATGTTGAACAGCGTCATGCCGAAAAGGAGGACATTTCTATGACCAAAGATATCACCTAGCCTGCCTCCGGCCATTAAAAAGCCGCCAAACTATACCCAAGTGAGCATTATCTGCATGACGACAAAACTATTGAAATTAATAAATGCATACCGTCAGCGAATAAGCCGTCAGAACCCATTGCAGCGATCCTTCATCGTAACCGAGTGCTCTCTGAATGGTCGGAAGGGCGATGTTCGCCATGCCCAGGTTGGCAATGTCGACAAAGAAAACGAGGCATCTGCATGATGGATTTTGTCAGACGATCATCCTTCTGCTGTCGGTCCGATACACGTACACTATGGCCAAGGTCGCAAGCGACGCGGTCCGATTCTATGAGCTGGTGGTCATGGTGGGATTTCAATGCTGAGATGATTGCAACTGCTCTTTGCTTGAGAATCGGAATCATGCCAAAAATCCAGCTCTTTTATCATCCGAGGCATAAGGCACCAGCTGGTGACGCACCCCAGGACCGATTCATGGACTAAGAAGCAGCTAAAACATCGGGTTGCGTACCCTTGTCTGCCTGAGAGATTATGCATGTTTAGTTACACCATAAACCCTGCAAAAAGCAATTTGAAATATTTTTAGGAGCTTTTTCTGTAATAGTACTCCGTACAGAGTATAGACTGACTCCTGTGCTCTGTATGGGGTTTGCAATATCTGTTTGTGCGCGAGTCATGTTCCTGCGCCAATTTCCAGTTCCGGTAAGCATGCCAAGTCGTATTCGGGCCGAGCATCCCGGGTGATCATTGCTTATTTGTATTGCACTAGCCCGATGTGGTAAACCTTATTTACTATGCACAACATCGAGGTGCTTCAGCCACATTCAAGGTAATCCTGTGTTTATCTAGGAATACTACAGGGTGACTGTATTCTTTTCCGGGGAGACTACTAGTACACCAGAGCGTACACCATGTTAAAATCCACATGACACTATTTTCCATCCACAGTCCCGTACTCCTTGAACAGCGCCACTACGTCCTGACGTTTTTCGTCCCGCGCCGCCATAAGAGCCGCCGCTCCTCCATCCTCACGTATTTTGTGAACGCCCTTCTCCAACAAGACTTCGATGACACACAGTGGAGAATAGAACACAGCCTGCTCGAGAAGCCGAGATCGAACGGGATGAACAGGGGCACTTTTATCCAACAGTAACGCCACGGTGCGAGGGAAGCCATAGATGTGAGCTGCAAGCGAGAGGGGCACTTCCTCAGATTTGGGCCCTCCATCTATATCCGCGCCGTTTTCCAGAAGCAATCGAATCGTGTCGTTGTGGCCCCGAAGAGCGGCGATTCCCAGTGCAGTAATCTCGCTTCTCTCATAGAATTCAGTAGAGTCGATTTGCGCACCCTTGGCCAGCAGGAAGGGTATCACTTCAGTCTTTCCACTAAACGCGGCAGCGAGCAACGTATGGTTCCACAAATCCTTCAATACTGGCGGAGAAAACTCGCCGATCTCTTTATCCAACAGCCTCACAAAGTCAGTACTACCACGCATGGCGGCCAATGTTATTGCTCGAAGGTGGCTATAGGATGACCTCCAGTTATGGTGACTGGGCTGTTGCAATAGTAGCCGCACTATCCGCTCGTGCCCTTCAAACGCCGCTGCTCCAAGGGCAGTTGGGGTGTATGGTCTCTCGATGCTGACAAAAAAAACTCTTGCTGGAGCTTCCAGATCTTACCATAATTATAAGTGTACCACTCCTCTTCTGCATCTCGGTATCTGCGACCGGCTTCCCAATCAGCACCTTTGCTCAGGAGGAGTCGAACAACTTTCAAGTGACCATTGCGGGAGGCATTCCGTAAGGATGTTCCAAGCACGTCACTTTCCTTGCTCACATCGAAACTGTCCGGTTCTTGTTCCAAGAGGTGCTCGACAAGCGATAGGTTCCCGACAGACGCCGCGGCAGAGAGAAGATGCTCCGGTGCATCATATTCCGCGCGATTGCTGCTTGACCATTTCCAACTACCGCATGCTGCTGCTGCATGCGAGATAACCAGCGAGACTTCTTGCAGCTGCTTCTGCCGTTGGTTGCCGTCTCCCTCTGTGGAATAGATTTCGAAATACCCCATTACCCGGTCGAGAACATGCCGTATTGCTTGAAAGGAGTAGTCGTCCATGTGGTCTCGAGCTAGTGCTTTTTCTTGAATGTGGTACGGGTCATGGCGCACGTGGCGTTCATTGTAAAGGCGCGTGGAGTGCATCGCGACGATAGCCTCTTTGGCAAAGAACTCTAGGCTTAGGTTAGTGTCCGCAACACGGTGTATGGTCGATGTATCTTACTATTGACGAGTCGAAGGTAAACCAGGTCGTAGGGATGGGAAGTGAGCTTGACAGCTTCCTCGAGAATCGCCCGAACTACCTCGAGTGGTAGATCGAGGAGGTGCATCTTCAATCGGTATTTTTTTTTTTTTTTTTTTTTTATGTCTTAGAGTAAAGGTACACAGACAGAAGGGACAGGAAGCGGAGAAGGATAAAAAGATGAAGAGCAAGAACGCAAGCAGATCTGTCATCTCTTGTGCAAACAGAGAGTGCACAGCCTCCCCCAAATCATCCTAGCGCTCCGACACCCAGAATTCTGTAAAGAGGCCATTCACTGTTGTGATAAGGGACTCAGATGAAGACTGTCTTCCTCGCAACGACATCGGGGACCTCCTTGTCGCTCCATGTTCAACCTCGCCAACTATATACACGACTTCCGAAGACGCCACGTTTTGAGATCATCATTGATTCACGTTATTCCTCACAGCGCAGTTTTATGTTCCGGCTCTCCTATTTAAATTTCTGAGCCTAGTACCACCAACGACCCACGGATCTCAACGGATGTACTTGACAGTATCAAGAACGAGGGTTCTTTATTGCAATGAACATTGGAGGAACATAGAATCATTGGAAGTGACGATCTGGAGAAATCGACACTTCCCCGGGGCCTGAGAGTTTCATATCATTCCTGCTGCTATTCAATGCCCTCTCTACAGGTCCACGATGTACTGGACGAACGGTCTGTCCTCCCGACTACCGATATCTGATCGATACGGCCCCTGATTGGCCCCCAAGTCCCATACCTCATCGTTCATTGGCCAAATCGATAGTTCGATTTACACCAAGGATCTGGAATGCCAAGACCCCTAACCACATTGGGACAGCTGTTCTACGGAGTGGTACAAGATGGTCAGCCTCGTGTCCACAACCAGAAGAACTACAGGAAATTTGGTGGCGAATCCAAGTCATGGGATCAAGAGCTGAAAGTGGGGTTCAAGAGAGCTGCCGGTGCAGAGGGGAGTATGAGCATTGACCTGGTGATGAGCGGTGAAATGGTTGGGTTTGTATTTAAGGATGCGGTTGCTGTATCTTGGTTTAGATTTTTATTTTTATTTTATTTTTATTTTATTTTTCTCTTTCTTCTTGTTTTTATTTTATTTTATTTTATTTTTTTTTGTTGATTTTGGTTTCTTTTATCTTCTCGGACGTGCAAAGAAAATAGAATACAGCATGCGATCTCTTCTAGATCCCCACGCTCTCTCCCTCGGGGAACCTCAGCCTCCGAAACAGGTGCATGTACGTTGTTTTGAGGAGGAGCAAGCTACGGTGAAGCGATTGCTAACTTCAACGAATGAATGTATAGTCCGTCAGCGTTTCAATGCCAACATGGGACAGCGTAGTCGGCTGGGGTAAACGCGAAGACAGGGTGGTGAGCAAGATGCAGACGGTTTACCCAAGGTGCCTAGTCTACCGCAATAAACAGCAAATAATGCGGATGATATTGATAGTGATAGGTTCCATATCCATCAAGTCCTCCAAGATCTAGGCGCGATTGTACGGAAAAGATTCGATATCGCCGACAGCCACCTCGACTGCATGCTATTCCCATCCGAATCGACGGCACAGCGATTCGTCTTGCAATTAAGAGCAAAGGATACAGGGAAAACAGTGGAGCCGGTAACATTCCATCTACCTGACGGTGTATCAACCGAAAACGCCCGCTGGGGACGCTTCGTCGCCGTGATATATGATCGAGATCTCCATCCACAAGCCCGCAAGACCTGGTGTATATTGGGAGATGGAATGTCTAGCAGACACGGGGAATTCTGTAAAGACCGGATCGACATTATGCATTCCCGATCACCCAGCCCCGCTTTTCAAACCGCTGCCCCAAATTCAGATACAACGGAACTGGTACCGGCACCGTGGACGGATTCCGCCCGTCGCGAGAAACAACAAATCAAGAAACAGATTGCGGAGCTAGTGACGTCAGAGAAGCCTGGTTCCAAGAGGGTCTCGCCGGATGATGTTTTTTTATATTCGAAGGGGATGGTGGCTATTAATTATGTGGCCAGGGCATTGCTAAGGACTTTACCGGGTTCTGAGTATAATGGAGCGGTTGTTTACGGGTTAGTCAGGTAGTTGTTGGAGGGTGATGATGATGATGATGCTAATGTTGGTGATATGAAGATGGCCCTACGCCGAGACACCCAAGGCCGTGCAGATGGCCGGGTTCGAACGATTTACGTTATATGGACGCGGGACGGCGCGGGAATTGGATGAGCTGGAGGCTTTGTTGAAATCGGGCCAGCGCATTCGCGTGCTGTTTTGCGAGGTTCCGTGTAATCCGCTGTTGGAGTCGTCTGACCTGTTACGAGTCAGAGCTCTGGCGGATGAGTATGGGTTTGTTGTGGCCTGCGATGAGACCCTGGGGACATTTGTCAATATCGATTTGCTGCCGTATGCGGATATTCTCATGACGAGTTTGACCAAGATCTTCAGCGGCGCGTCCAACGTGATGGGCGGGAGGTAAGCAGCTCCAGCACTGCATACCCCGGAAGACAGCTAACAGATCAGCGTGGTCGTCAACCCCCAATCCCGACACCACGGTACAATCCACTCCGCTTTGAAATCCAGCTTCGAAGACGAATACTTCCCCCTCGACGCTGTCACCATGTCCCAAAACAGCTCCGACTTCGTCCCCCGCGTCCACCACAGCAACACTATCGCCCTCTCCATCGCCAACCTCCTCTCCTCCCACCCCTCAGTCCACCACGTCCACTACCCAACAATGGTAACCTCGGCACCGCTCTACGAAAAGTACCGTCGCCGAAACGGCGGGTACGGATTCCTGCTAAGCATGATCTTCAACCACGCGACGAGCGCGGTGTGTTTCTACGACGCGCTAGATGTGCGCAAGGGACCGAGTGTGGGGACGAACTTTACGTTGGCGATCCCGTATGCGCAGCTGGCGCATTTTCAGGAGTTGGAATTTGCGGCGGAGTATGGGGTCGATCGCTATATTGTACGGATTAGCGTTGGGTTGGAGGATGGAGAGGTGCTGATGGAACGGGTGCGGGAGGCGTTAAGGGCGGTTGAGCGGGTGGAGGGTGCGGATGTGGGTGTGAATGCGAGTGCGAGTGCGAGTCCGCATGCGAAATTATGAGAGTCGTGGTACTCCGTACATAGCACGGTGCCCAACATTCTCAAGCCCATTTTTGTAGTCGGTACTACTAGTACAGTGAAGAGTGATTAGTGGGAGGCAAACCCGTGAAGATCATGTGACAGCTTACGTAGACTCGGGAACGCGTGTCGATCACGAAAAGACTTTTGCTATCTATAGATTTTCTTTAATTTTTCTTTCATTTTACTCATAATTGTGATGCAGTGAAGAACACAAAAACAGGATTGTGATTGTCACAGCGTAATCATGAGTTCGTCTGTTAGTTAGTACCAGGGGTTCATTAATTTGTATTGAATCCAGTTGAGAGCTCAGACCCATAGTTAGTTAGATAGGGCAGAATGCCTGAGGCAAGGTCTTCAGATTGTACAGAGTACGGGGATTGCATAGATGCAAGGTGCCGGGTAATTCCAGGTTATAACCAATGAACGGGGTATATACTTGTACTTGTATGTATGTTTACTCCGTACCGGGTCCAACCCCTATAATACCCGGGGGTCTTTTATATACATCGACAGGATTGTGTACACTTACCCAATGCGGGGTAGCGCCTTTTGGCCAAGCTAGTCCTAATCAAGGCAGGCCATATCAGCTGACCCCGCCGGCTTCATTTCTTTCGAAAGATATCATTATTATCGTTGTTTCATTATTACTCTGTACGGAGTACATACATAAAACTGGACTGAGAATAGGGCCCTGTTCGTTAAAAACAAACAGTCCGTGCGGTAATTAAGATATCCCCGACTCAAACTGGAAGGACTACTGACCCTCCTTCCACCCGCTGAATTCTCGCCCGGTCCAGGGTTGACTTCTCTTTTTCTTTTTTT